ACATGATGCCTTGTATAAAGGTGTCAGTTTTTGTACCAGTTGAAAGGGTAAAAACCTACTACTATATTTTGGCACTGGTGTAATAAAGCTCGTTGGGGCGACTTCTGGAATCCGTCTTTTATTCAACTTGTATTACAGCTTTTCCTTCACACTGCTGACAGGCAGCGTGAGAGGGACAGATAGAGAGAGACACACACTGCCACGTGGCAACCCGGAGCCCCGCGTGGCCCCCTTCCTCCGTTCGTTCCCGTTCTGACCACGTGTCGCTCGTCTCCACCCCTATTTAATACCCGGGTCACATGATACGTTTCCGCCAATCCTCGTTAGCCTCCGTGGAATATTCCAGGCCCCCTCGTAGGCTCCCGGGACCACGCCCCTGACTCGTCTCCCCATTGGCTGTGGCCAAAGCCAGCAGAACCAATCCTACAGCTGTCACCTTTCCATTACGTCAGGGCACGCCCCCAGGCTTCCCCCCCATTGGCTGTAAAACCAGGACCGGCAGAGCCAATCACCATGACGAGTTGTGATACGTCAGTGAGCCGGATATATCCTCACATTACACTGGTAAAGGAGATGTCTCATAGTGTAAAGCGATCCGTGTTCGGCACCGGGGAGGTAGAGGTCGCAGAAGGGGTCGCTGTGTGCGTCCTGCAGGAGCCCGGCGATGCGGTCCACGATGCCGGCGTGGAGGAGGTGGTGACGGCCGTGCGGGGAGCGCACCAGGCCGCTCACCGTCTCTGCGCTCGTCGCGCTGCACACAGACAGGTGGCGGTCTCCAGTGCAGCCCGCGGTGGAGTGGGCGAGGGTGTGAGCTGGTAGCTGAGCGGGTGAGAGTGTGAGCTGGTAGCTGAGCGGGTGAGAGTGTGAGTGGGCGAGGGTGTGAGCGGGCGAGGGTGTGAGCTGGTAGCTGAGCGGGCGAGGGTGTGAGCGGGCGAGGGTGTGAGCTGGTAGCTGAGCGGGCGAGGGTGTGAGCGGGCGAGGGTGTGAGCTGGTGGCTGAGCAGGTGAGAGTGTGAGCTGGTGGCTGAGCGTGTGAGAGTGTGAGTGGGTGAGAGTGTGAGAGGGTGAGTGGGTGAGAGTGTGAGAGAATGAGCTGGTAGCTGAGCGAGCAAGGGTGTGAGCTGGTGGTTGAGCAGGTGAGAGTGTGAGCGGGTGAGCCGTGTGAGCGGGTGAGAGTGTGAGTGGGTGAGAGTGTGAGCGGGTGAGAGTGTGAGCTGGTGAGAGTGTGAGCTGGTGGTTGAGCGGGTGAGCGGGAGAGTGTGAACGTGTGAGCGGGAGAGTGTGAGAGTGTGAGCGGGCAAGGGTGTGAGCTGGTGGCTGAGTGGGTGAGAGTGTGAGCGGGTGAGAGTGTGAGCTGGTGGCTGAGTGGGTGAGAGTGTGAGCGGGTGAGAGTGTGAGCTGGTGGCTGAGCGGGTGAGCGGGTGAGAGGGTGAGAGTGTGCGAGGGTGTGAGCTGGTGGCCGAGCGTGCGAGCGTGCCGTCTCACCGGATGAGCCGTGTGAGCGTGTGAGCAGGTGAGAGTGTGAGTGGGTAAGCGTGTGAGCGTGAGAGTGTGCGAGTGTGAGCGGGTGAGAGTGTGAGCGTGTGAGCGTGCGAGCGTGCGAGTGTGCGAGCGGGTGAGAGTGTGAGCTGGTGGCCGAGTGTGTGAGCGTGCGAGTGTGCGAGTGGGTGAGCGTGCGAGCGTGCGAGCGTGTGAGCGTGCGAGCGTGCGAGTGAGCGTGCGAGCGTGGGAGCGTGCTCTCTCACCGGATGAGCACATCGTTGCCCACCAGCTCGGCGACGAGGCGGGAGATGAACCCGGCCTCGTCGCAGTAGCGCAGCGACGTGGGCGACGCTCCCGCAATCTCCACCACCAGCTGCGGCATCCACACAAAACACAGAATCCCCCGTGTGGTCGTTTACTTGATTTTTAAATCCTTTATATAAGTTCGCTTGCTTGCTTGCTTGCGCGCTTACGACCGTGCAAATCTTTCGGTCGTTTTTTAACCCACTTCCCGTGATCCAATCGAGCTGACATTTTCCACACAGACTCGTTGTGCGTGACAATTATTTTCGTGAAAATTTTTTTCCAAAATTTTCACTTTTAAGGAAAAAATAAATTTTCACTAACACAATCATATATTTTTCCTAAACACAGAAAATTATTCAAGAAAACAACAAAAATGTACAATATAAACAATCATACAAAAACTGAAAACCTTATAATCCTTATATACGACTTTCCTTATATTAATTTAAAATACCAATGTGATAAAAATGAAACTCTTACTCAAGAAAAACTGAAATGAATAATAAAATAAAACCGATGCCACGCATATAAAGGATTTATAGTTTTTAAATCCTTTATTATTTTACCAGGTGAGTCCCACTGACCTGCATAGCTCTTTTTCATAAGCGACCTGGCCCACAAATGATAGCCCAACGAAGTGGCTCATCATCATCATGTGGAAATGTATAGTAAGCCAAATACTCCGAACGAGTGAAGTTCATTCTAAACGTGGGAGGGAAAACCCGGAGGACCCAGAGAAAAATCCACGCGACCATGGGGAGGGAGAGAGAGACACCGCAAACTCCAATTATACAACAGGGTCAAGTCTTCTTGGTTCTTTCGGTAAAGTCACGCTGTCTTTCCGACAGACCTGTTCTTCACCTGAGGACGGCTGCTTGCGTTGTGGCCGAAACGTCGTGAGAATTTTATTGTTTTATTTTTATTATCTTATTATTTCCCTTCTACGTGACTTTACCGAAAGAACCAACAAGATGAATCCCTGCAGTCACGAAAGCTTTCAATCGAAATTTAACAGGGTCAAGGTCGGGATCGAACCCACGGCCTCCTGCATGCCAGGCGAGGCAGCTAACATCTCGCCACGGTTCGCGCGTCTGCGCAGATCGCCGGGGCGAGTGCCGTTTGCAACCGCCCACGAAGGCCGGAGTGTCGCACTGCGTCAACAGCACAGACGAGGGAGTAAGCTGCTGGTGGAAGGAGAGGAAAGAAGAATTCTGACCTCGTACACGCGGTAGCGTACGACGTCGCTGGTCGTCATGACGCCGTTGAGCTTGGCGAGGAGGGTGCCGGTGAAGAGCGCTTGGAGGCCCTCCCTGGCCGCGGCCACGCGCGCCAGGCAGCGGACGGCCTGCCCCGCGCGGTGGCGGCAAAGACGGGATCGTGACCATCATTGCAATTGATAATTGTTTTTTTACCCTTCCATCTGGCAACAAAACTGACACCTTTTTTACAAGGAGTCATGTTGCATAGACCACAATACTTGCAGTCGTAATGCAAACAAAAACATAACTCTGATAAACACAAAAACATAACTCTGAAAAACATTATCAGAGTTATGTTTTTGTTTGCATTATGACTGCAGGTATTGTGGTCTATGTTAACATGACTCCTTGTAAAAAAGGTGTCAGTTTTGTTGCCAGATAGAAGGGTAAAAAAACTATTATCATATTTTTTACTGGCAAAGGAGGTTCCAATGGTGTAAATGCTTACCCTGAGCTCTTATACTCTGATGGTGCATTGTCTTTGAATTGTGCGCCTTTTGGCATCATCTGGTCCAACCCATGTGAGACTAGGCTCTAAGGAAAGCTGTCTCGGTTGTGGACCAATCAACTTCAAGGACAGTGCATACATCAGAGTTATGTTTTTGTTTGCATCATGACTGCAGGTATTGTGGTCTATGCAAACATGACTCTGTGTAAAAAAAGGTGTCAGTTTTGTTGCCAGATAGAAGGGTAAAAGAAACAATGATCATATTTTTTACTGGCAAATGAGGTTCCAATGGTGTAAATCATTGCAACTGTTGTTATTGTCGCTCGTTGCTTTCGCAACGACGAGACGGGCGACGCGAACGATTCGGAAACCCCGCCGCCGGGGCTCACCTCTGCGAGGAGCGGTATGCCGTACGCGCTGGGTTACCTGGGTGGCCACAGACGTGGTGTCGTCCCGGACGCACTGGATGACGTGCGAGAGAAGGTCCGGCTGGCTCGCGATGTCGCCGACGCACGACGCGTCTCCCACGATCCTCTCGATCTGAGGACAACCGATTCGACCGCTGGACGAAGGCCCTCTGCCCCCTCCCATCCCTCGGGAGAGTCGCTGCGACGCAACACTGATGTCCGTCAGTCTGTCCGATTGTCAGTCGGCCAGTCAAGCCATCAGTCCGTCCCTCAGTCAGTCAGCCCGTCCGTCCGTCCCTGGCACAGCGAGCCGATCTTATCGCTTCACCTACGATCAGCACTGTGGGTTACGTACGGTGCAAAAGAATTTTTCGATTTAAAGCTTTCGTGACTGCAGGGATTCATCTTCTTGTTTCTTTCGGTAAAGTCACGTAGAAGGGAAGTCTACAGGAAAGCCACCCACACGGATGCTTATCTAAAACCGGATTCCCACCACCATCCATCCCAGAAGAATTCCCTCATCAAGACTCTATATCATAGAGCCCAATGCATCTCCGACCATGAACACATTTCCAGTGAACTCAAACACGTACGCCAAGCTCTTAAGGCAAATGGTTACTCCGACTATACAATCCGCAAAGCCATCACTCCAACCATCAAGAAGGATCCTGTTGAGGAGCCTTTCAAGACCATCATCTTACCCTACATTGCTGGGGTCACAAAAAAGATCTCCAAAATCCTGATTAAACACAAGATCCAGGTCCGATTCAACACAGTACATAAAATCCGTGATCTGGTACCGTCTGTAAAAGATGTGGTTCCAGACATACAGTACCCTGGCGTCTACAAACTAAGTTGCCTCTGTGGTAGCAGTTACATTGGTGAAACCAAACGACATGTCTCGGACCGCATCCGTGAACATAAAGCTGACCTGAAACACGGTAGGACTAACACCTCAGCCGTGGCAGATCACTGTTACAACTCAGTGGGCTCACATGATATTGACTTCTCCAAGACAGAGGTTCTCTGCAAGCCATCTGGCTATCATGAGAGATTCGTTCATGAGGCGATCCACATATACAAACACAGAGACAATTTTAACCGAGAAGATGGATTCTGGCTCAGCAATCATTGGAAGGACGTAATAAACCATTTCGATACACATTAGGGTGTGTAGAATAATACATAGTGTGATATTAAATGTATAAGATATAGGTTGGTTTACAGCAATACAGTATATAATTTAATGTTGGGTTTATCTATGGCAGTATATAGTACGGTATATGCTCGTGTGATGTAAGAGAATAAGGTTTAGATGGAAGCATATTATAGAATTTTTACGAGGTAAAATTGTAATGTATTACTTGCTGTTAGTAACTCAGCTTATTATAGAGTATAGTAAGTATACTGATGGTGCGATGCAGTTTATACTTTAGTTTTTTATGTAGTTTATACTTTAGTTTTCTACGTGGTTGTTGAGTAACTGCAGCTACATATCATTAACATTCCTTTCCTTTGTTACTGCTAATCCCTGCACCCCCCTTGGTTGCTGCTGATCCTGCATAATGCATGGGCATAATATGACTTTGACACCCCCCCGCCCAACGCCTACGCATTTTCCATGAATATGCTAAATCCCTCTTCACATGCACATTCTTTTTGTTAAGGCGCTCTTCAACCCCCAATGCAGCTTATATATAAGCTCCTAGTTTGGTAGTGTCTCATTCTTCACCTGAAGACGGCTGCTTGCGTTGTAGCCGAAACGTCGTGAGAATTGTTTTATTATGTTTTATTTTTATTATTTTATTACTTCCCTTCTACGTGACTTTACCGAAAGAAACAAGAAGGTGCAAAAGAAGTTCAACGTACATACACGCATAACTCCGCGACGAATGTATGCACGTTGAACTTATTTAGCAACGTACGTACGTAAGTAGAACTTCTTTCGCACCTTAAGTATGCATGTAAGTTTAACTTCTTTCGCAGTATGTTGAACTTCAATCTCACCGTATGTATGTCGAATACCTTTCGCAACCATACGTAGCCAACCACGCGAATTGGAGGTGCGGGGGAAGGAATCGGAGGTGCGGGGGAAGGATGTTTACAAATGCGCTCCGGTCCTTTAGGCTCTGATTCGGGCCTCAAATTTGTGCGCACCTTCCAAGATAACTGCGGCCGTTTTTGTCTTCTCGAGGTAAAGTTCCGAACAAGCGACGCAAGAAAAGGTTCTCAAGTTTCACCATCTCAGTGAGATTCACAGGGCCCCCCCCCTCTCACCGTGACGGATGGCACGGACGGCGTGAACGCACCAACGCTTAAAGCGCCGCGTTAACCGATGGAGCCACGCCACGCGACGTTGACCAATCAGCCTCGAGATGAGAACAGATTTGATGGACCGGACTCCGATTAAGTCTCCAGACGATAACAGACTCACAGAACTGCCTCTGATGGGGTCTCTAGAAAATATAGAGCTAGAACGGTCTATGATAGGAAACCGGGGGGACAATACTCTATCCGACACAGCAGAGAGAGATGATATCAGTCCACAATTATTGCCGTTCCGCATTCCGCTGGCAAGCCAGGGTACGGCACCTTGACGCTCTACGGGGAAGCGCCTTTAGCAACGTCTGTGCGGGTGATCCGCAAACCCTCACTGCCTCCACAGTGCCGCATGGCAGGCCACGAGCGTTGCCTCCTCACCGCCTGGCTAAAGGCTTTTTCAAGATACAAGTTCTTAAATACAAGTCAAGCCCCTCCCCCCTCCTCCCCCCCTTAACGTGTATTTAAGAACTTGTATCTTGGAATTTTTTGCCTCACTTGATACAGTAAATCTGGCTGTGACGGTCCCACCTGATGACGGAGACTTGTGTTGCCTCCGAAACGTCGTGATTTATTATTTTATTTCTATTATTACTTTGATTAATTAAAATTTTTCACCTACGTGACTTTACCGAAAAAACCTAAGAGTAGGGGTTATCCCCTTTTTTCTGGCAACAAAACTGAAACCTTCTTACAAGGAATCGTGTGTGCATTAACCACAATACTTGTGGTCAACATGCAAACAAGCAAAGGAGGTCTAATGATGTAGATGCTCACCCCGAGCCCTCATTACTTTGATAGTGCCATTGTCTTTGAGCGTTACGCCTCTTGGCGTCCTCTGGTCTAGCACCAATTGAGATGAGGCTCAAAAGAAAGCCGTCTCTGGTGTGGGCCAATCAGTTTCAAGGACAATGCATATATTATCAGAGTGTTTTTTTTTGCATTTTCCCCACAAGTATTATGGTGAATGCGCCACATGATTCCTTGTAAAAAGGTTTAAACTTTGTTGCCAGAAAAAAGGGGGAAAACCCTATGATCATACTTTGGTACTGGTAAAGGAGGTCTAATGATGGACTGACTGTTGCGTCACCGCGATTCTCCCGAGAGATGGGAAGGGGGAGGAGGCCTTCGACCAGCGCTGGAATCGGTTGTTCTCAGATCGAGAAGATCGCGTCGGGAACATCGCGAGCCAACCGGACCTTCTCTCGCACGTCACCGAGTGCGTCCGGGACGACACCACCCAGGTAACCCAGCGCAACGGCGGCCGTGGCGCGGCCGGGGTTCACCGCCGCTTGTCTAAATGTCACCGCTGGGTGGGGAGGGTGGGGAGTGGCTGGGTGGGGAGGGTGGGGCTGGGTGGGGGGTGGGAGGGGTGGGGCTGGGTGGGGAGGATGGGGCTGGGTGGGGGGTGGGAGGGGTGGGGCTGGGTGGGGATGGGCTGGGTGGGGAGGGTGGGGCTGGGTGGGGGGTGGGAGGAGTGGAGCTGGGTGGGGAGGGGCTGGTCACCCCGTGGTGCCCTTATAAAACTCAACGTTTCACCTACTCACGCCGGCTTGTGCCCGCCCTCACAGTCGGGCATATTTGCGGAATACACCACGCCCTGGCCGTTGACCCTGGCCATTGACCGAGCAACCCGACGTTCCTACCAGCTCCCTCCGCAGGACAATGTGTTTTAAAACGTCTGTAATGATGATGATAATACCGCAGCAGTAACAATAAAAAATGATGAAGAGTCACCAGAGTGAGGGAGAGAAGGCGGACGAGCTCGTGCGGGTGCAGAAGGCCACGGGTGAGGTTGTGGCGATGGGCGGCGAGGAGACGCTGCGGCTGCTCGCCGTGCAGAGCCCGCTCCAGCACGGCGCAGCACAGCTCCGTGTGCTCCCTGTGCAGCAGCGCCAGGCAGCAGCAGTGACAGCAGCAGAAGCAGCAGCAGTAGCAGCAGCAACAGCAGCAGCAGTAGAGACAACAGCAGTAGCAACAGCGACAACAGCAGCAGCAGTAGCAGCAGCAGCGACAGCAGCAGCAGAAGCAGCAGCAACAGCAGCAGAAGCAGCAGTAGCAGCAGTAGCAATAGCAGCAGCAACAACAGCAGCAGTAGCAGCAGCAGCAACAACAGCAGCAGTAGCAGCAGCGACAGCAGCAGCGACAGCAGCAGCAGCAACAATAGCAACAGTAGCAACAGCGATAACAGCAGCAGCAGCCGTAGCAGCAATCGCGGCAGCAGAAGCAGCGACAGCAGCAGCAGTAACAACAACAGCAGCAACAGCAGCGACAGCAGCAGTGACGTCACCACGGCGCTTGTGCCACGCTAGGTGCACCTTGCATGTAACGTTGAACTTCATTCGCACCGTACGTAGACAGCCGTCCTAATTGGAGGTTCGGGGGGATGGACAACCAACTAAACACACCAACACGCGTGTAACCACCAACACGCGTGTTACCACCTGTACCCCCCCACTGTGCCAGGCTAGGTGCAGGTCACGGCACAGACCCAGCAGGTGCCGTGGGTTGACTGAGATGACCGGTAATGCACCACCTGTACCCCTACTGTGCCAGGCTAGGTGCAGGTCACAGAACAGACCCAGCAGGTGCCATGAGTCGACTGACTGAGGATGACCGGTTTAGTGGGAAACGCTCACGCACCTATCCCCGCAGTCGAGGATGTCGAAGAGCGGCTCCAGGCTGACGCCGGCGAGTGTGGAGGGCTGCGAGGCGAACACGGCCGTCTTGAGGCTCTGCAAGGCCTCGGCTCGATCATCGCAGCATCCGAGGCGAGCGAGCAACGCCACCACCGCATCCGCCATGCTGTTTCAAAGTGGTGAAGACGAGAATCGATTCCCTTGAATCGACGTTGCAGTTTGAAATCGACGGCGGATTCAATGGCGTCGGGTGGGTGTTGGAGGGGAATCGATTCCGAGTCGATTATTATGTTAGCGGGTTGTGATAACCTGGATCGGGAATCGATTCTGTCCTGTCATTGTTGTTGTTGTTGTGGACTGTACTTCATGGGACCTCGCTGACTCCTTGATTTTATTATTTTGTTTCCTCACCTGAGGATTTTTTTGTTTCTTCACCTGAGGATTTTATTTTATTTTGTGTTTCTTCACCTGAGGATTTTATTTTATTTTTTGTTTCCTCACCTGAGGATTTTATTTTATTGTTTGTTTCTTCACCTGAGGATTTTATTTTATTGTTTGTTTCTTCACCTGAGGATTTTATTTATTTTTTTGTTTCTTCACCTGAGGATTTAATTTTTTGTTTCTTCACCTGAGGATTTCATTTTATTTTTGTTTCTTCACCTGAGGATTTCATTTTATTTTTTGTTTCTTCACCTGAGGATTTTATTTAATTTTTTGTTTCTTCACCTGAGGATTTTATTTAATTTTTAGTTTCTTCTGAGGATTTTATTTTATTTTGTGTTTCTTCACCTGAGGATTTTATTTTATTTTTGTTTCCTCACCTGAGGATTTTATTTTATTGTTTGTTTCTTCACCTGAGGATTTTTTTTTGTTTCTTCACCTGAGGATTTTATTTTATTTTTTGTTTCTTCACCTGAGGATTTTTTTTGTTTCTTCACCTGAGGATTTTATTTTATTTTTTGTTTCTTCACCTGAGGATTTTTTTTTGTTTCTTCACCTGAGGATTTTATTTTATTTTTTGTTTCTTCACCTGAGGATTTTATTTTATTGTTTGTTTCTTCACCTGAGGATTTTATTTTATTTTTTGTTTCTTCACCTGAGGATTTTATTTTATTTTTTGTTTCTTCACCTGAGGATTTTTTGTTTGTTTTTTGTTTCTTCACCTGAGGATTTTTTTTTGTTTCTTCACCTGAGGATTTTATTTTATTTTGTTGTTTCTTAACCTGAGGATTTTTTTTGTTTCTTCACCTGAGGATTTTTTTTTTCTTCACCTGAGGATTTTATTTTATTTTTTGTTTCTTCACCTGAGGATTTTTTTTGTTTCTTCACCTGAGGATTTTATTTTATTTTGTTGTTTCTTAACCTGAGGATTTTTTTTTGTTTCTTCACCTGAGGATTTAATTTATTTATTTTTTTCTTCACCTGAGGTTTTTTTTTGTTTCTTCACCTGAGGATTTTTTTACTTTTGGTTTCTTCACCTGAGGACGGCTGCTTGTGTTGTGGCCGAAACGTCGTGGGAATTTTGTTTTATTAGGTTTAATTTTTATTATTTTTTATTTCCCTTCTACGAGACTTTACCGAAAGAATCAAGAAGATACAATTTGATTATTTCGGTAAAGTCACGTAGGTAGAAAAATAAGAAAATAAAATATCATAAAAATAATAGATCACGACGTATCGATCGCAACACAAGCAATCGTCATCAGGTGGGACAACCACAGCAGCAGTTTCTTCCTGCTGTGTCGTGATCTATTATTTTTTGTGATATTTATTGTTTGGTTCTTTCGGTAAATAAAAAATAATGTATGTATTTGTATTTAAAAATAATGTATTATTTTTTATGTAATTTATTTTATTTTTTCACCTACGTGACTTTACCGAAGAACCAAAGAGTTTGGGGATTCCTGGAGTCACGAAAGCTTCAAATCAAGAATTGGACCTCCCTTGTCACTATAAAAATATATAACAAAGGTTTTGTCTGTTGCGGCAATAAAACAGTTGTGTTAAGATGTTAAAACGCTAAAGGGGGCGTCCATAAATGACGTCACGCGATTTTGGACGATTTTTGACCCCCCCCCTCGTCACACGGCGTCACAAAAAGTCAGACCCCCCCCCTAAAATATGACGTCACAAATCTCTGCCCCCCCCTCCCCCAAAAAACATGCTTCAAATCGCTTTAAACTATTGTCATTGTAGTGCGTATTTAATGTGGCGCTGCACTCTGATGTTGTAGGAGAAAACATTTTAAAAGTCTTTATTTTAGTAGAACGTGTTGTCTATATTTATTTAAAGTTGTGCATTTTAATGTGACGTCACATTTCTCAACCCCCCCCCAACAGGTGCGTGACGTCATTTATGGACGGCTCCTTGTGGCGACCCACAGAGACTCATAGACACCCATAGAGATCCAGACTAATAGAGACTCACAGAGACCCACAGAGACTCATAGATACCCATAGAGATCCAGACTAATAGAGACCCACAGAGACTCATAGAGACCCATAGAGATCCAGACTAATAGAGACCCACAGAGACTCATAGACACCCACAGAGATCCAGACTAATAGAGACACACAGAGACTCATAGACACCCATAGAGATCCAGACTAATAGAGACACACAGAGACTCATAGACACCCATAGAGATCCAGACTAATAGAGACCCACAGAGACTCATAGACACCCACAGAGATCCAGACTAATAGAGACCCACAGAGACTCATAGGCACCCATAGAGATCCAGACTAATAGAGGCCCAGAGAGACTCATAGACACCCACAGAGATCCAGACTAATAGAGACACACAGAGACTCATAGACACCCATAGAGATACAGACTAATGGAGACACAGAGACTCATAGACACCCATAGAGACTCATAGAGACCCACAGAGACTCATAGACACCCATAGAGACTCATAGATACCCACAGAGACTCAAATACCCATAGAGATCCAGACTAATAGAGACCCACATAGACTCATAGATACCCATAGAGATCCAGACTAATAGAGACCCACAGAGACTCATAGATACCCAGAGATCCAGACTTATAAGAGACACACAGAGACTCATAGATACCCATAGAGATCCAGACTAATAGAGACCCACAGAGACTCATAGATACCCATAGAGATCCAGACTAATAGAGACCCACAGAGATCCAGACTAATAGAGACCCACAGAGACTCATAGATACCCATAGAGATCCAGACTAATAGAGACCCACAGATACTCATAGAGACCCACAGAGATCCATACTAATAGAGACACACAGAGACTCATAGACACCCATAGAGATCCAGACTAATAGAGACCCACAGAGACTCATAGACACCCATAGAGACCCAGACTAATAGACACCCACAGCGACTCATAGAGATCCAGACTAATAGAGACCCACAGAGACTCCTAGACACCCATAGAGACCCAGACTGATAGAGACTCAAAGAGACTCATAGACACCCATAGAGATCCAGACTAATAGAGACCCACAGATACTCCTAGACACCCATAGAAACCCAGACTAATAGAGACCCACAGAGACTCCTAGACACCCATAGAGATCCATACTAATAGAGACTCACAGAGACTCATAGATACCCACAGAGATCCATACTTATAGAGACCCACAGAGACTCATAGACACCCATAGAGATCCAGACTAATAGACACCCACAGAGACTCATAGACACCCATAGAGATCCAGACTAATAGAGACTCATAGATACCCATAGAGTTTCATACTAATAGAGACCCACAGAGAATCATAGATACCCATAGAGATCCATACTATTAGACACCCACAGAGAATCATAGATACCCATAGAGATCCATACTATTAGACACCCACAGAGACTCATAGACACACATAGAGATCCAGACTAATAGAGACCCACAAAGACTCATAGATTAACCACAGAGATCCAGACTAATAGAGACTCACAGATACCCATAAAGACCCAGACTAATAGAGACCCACAGAGACCCCCATAGAGACCATAGACTCAGAGACCCATAGAAACACGTAGACTAATAGAGACATTACAGTGATGACACAACTACTCCGATGTCTGCTGACGCGGTTGGCTGCAGGTTTGATCACCTAAATGCGACATTGTAAGTTGTGGCCTCTACATCGACATCAGCAGCCGTACGACGACGGTAATAATACGAAGTTTTAAGTTTTATGGTTTAAAATTTCTTACAAACTCGTGGGCGGAATCGACACGCAGCGGGAATCGTTGTGAGTCGATTCCTTAGCGATACGCGATGCGTTGCTTAGCAACGGATTCAAAACAATTGCTTGGAGGAGGATGTAGAATGATGGTGGTGGTGATGATGGTGATGATGATGATGGTGGTTGTTGTGTGGTGATGGTGTTGATGTGAGTATGGGTGCCACGGTGGCTGGGTGATGTTAACTACGTCGCCTGGTGTACAGGAGGTCGTGGGTTCGATCCCGACTCTGACGCCTGCTGCTGTATATTTGGAGTTTGCGTGTCTCTCTCTCATCATCACGGTGGCTAGGAGATGTTGACTATCTCGCCTGGTGTACAGGAGGTTGTAAGTTAAAATCTCAACCCTGACGCCTGCTGCTGTATATTTGGAGTTTGCGTGTCTCTCTCTCATCATCATCATCATCACGGTGGCTAGGAGATGTTGACTATCTCGCCTGGTGTACAGGAGGTTGTAAGTTAAAATCTCAACCCTGACGCCTGCTGCTGTATATTTGGAGTTTGCGTGTCTCTCTCTCATCATCATCATCATCACGGTGGCTAGGAGATGTTGACTATCTCGCCTGGTGTACAGGAGGTTGTAAGTTAAAATCTCAACCCTGACGCCTGCTGCTGTATATTTGGAGTTTGCGTGTCTCTCTCTCATCATCATCATCATCACGGTGGCTAGGAGATGTTGACTACCTCGCCTGGTGTACAGGAGGTCGTGGGTTCGATCTCGACCCTGACGCCTGCTGCTGCTGTATATTTGGAGTTTGCGTGTCTCTCTCTCTCTCCCCGTTGTCGCGTGGATATTTATTTCTCAGGGTCCTCTGGGTTTCCCCTCCCACATTTTAGAATCAGCATCGCCGCGCGTTTAGGGGATATTCGGCTGCTGCTTTCAACTTCCACACGACGATGATGATGACGATAAGCCCACTTCGTTGAGCTATCATTTGTGACAGCAAGGTCGCTTCTGAAGATAACTATATAGTTCAGTGGGGCCTTAAATATATAAAAAGTGTAATCGTTTTATGGGGAGCGGTAGTGTCGCAGTTATCCCCCGGTGCGCTACGAACCCGGTGACCCGAGTTCGATTATCCCTCACGGCCAACACCAGTGACGATTATCTGAACCCGTCCGGGGCCTCCCCTGGGTCGATTCGGCCTTAACTGAGTACCTGGTGCGGTGTGCAGTAAACATCGCCACTGGGGAGACAAAGGCGGCCGGGCGTGGTGCTGGCCACCTACACCCTCGTATACCGTGTCGGCCTTCATAGGTGTGCTACTCGCTAACAGCACTTGTCCCAGCAGTATTTTAAGGCTATACAGGGGAACTTTGTTGTTGTTACGATTATTAATTCAAACCAACGATAAAATGCATATTTAACATACTTAGAAATCTTCTTGGTTCTTTCGGTAAAGTCACGTAGAATGGAAATAATAAAATAATAAAAAGAAAACATAATAAAATAATTCTCACGACGTTTCTTATGTTTTATTTTTATTATTTTATTATTTCCATTCAACGTGACTTTACCGAAAGAACCAAGAAGATGAATCCCTGCAGTCACGAAAGCTTTAAATCGAAAAATACTTAGAAATGTTCAATCTTGTGCAAATGCGCGCATGTGTGTGTATCGCGTAACACAGACACCAAACGGCTAGCCGCAAACAGCGCTCACTTTTTTACAGAGTGCGTCGTCGGACACGGACGGGGTCGTGTGCGATATCCCTTCCCAGCAGGTCATTGACACCGAAACGAATCCTCGTGGAGCAGGGCAGCGGAAGGGAATGGCTGAGGTCCGCGTGGTCCCAAGCGGGAAGGTGTATCGACAGCTTTTTGATGCCGAGGTATTAACCACGAAATGCATCACGACCGTTTACCGGTTGTTTTTCTACATGTACGGACGCACTCGGAGACGGAGGTAAGTTAAGGGCTTTCGCCGAGTGTTTATTAAAGCTGTTACAATATTACACAGAAGGGTACACAAATCCCAGGGTCTAGGGGTCCTACTCTGAGTCCGGGTCTGCCGGCTGCTCCGGTCTCTCTCTCTCGTGTCGGATCGTGGACTCTGCCGACTCCACCGAGCGGAGAGAGAAGCACCTCTACGGCTACCACCGGCTTCTCCCCCGACTCCTTATTCGATCCCTCTCTCTACCCCTGGTTCCCTCTTCACCCTGCTTACTCTACCCGTTCCCACGGTGACCCCGCTTACGTCACGGGGTCTCCCTTAAGTACCCTAGGAGACGTGACGTCATCGCACTGAACGGCACACCTGACATCACGTCCCCATTTTACTCCTCTACACACGTGTAATGGCGACTTGACACACTTGAGTTGACATGGTTTCTTTATTGTAGACACGTTCACTCGAACAAGCGGAGACCCCCACTGCAACAGCCCCAAGTCTCCCGCGCATCTCTTATATATGGTGCGAGGCCACGCCCCCATTCCCGAACCTTCTCGCTGGTTCTAGACCGCTCGCTCCACCAACAAACTCCTTCCACACCCCCCGCCCCTGGGCGTGGCTCCCCGAGGCTTGCCGTGACGTAAGGGACCACGTGGTGATTTACAGGCAACGTTAGTTGAGCGTGGACAATTAGAGCCGTAAAAATAATTGTTTAAATATATTTATTTTTATTTTCAATGATAAAATATAGTATTGTCATCAGTATGACATAGCTATACCAAGTTTGCAGTCGATACGACATTGAGAATACGGTTGAAATTGAGTTACAAGATTTTTGGATACGACAACACATACAGTAAGTTAAATAAAAGCGTGTAAAAAGTTTAAAAAAATATGTTTTGGATTTTTTACGATAGAATATCGTGTTGTCATCAGTATGACATACCTATACCAAGTTTGCAGTCGATAGCACATTGGGAAGTGTGTCAAAATTGAGTTACAAGATTTCTTTTTTGAGGATACAACAGACGAAGTGAGTTAAATAAAAGCGTGTAAAAACCCCCTGTATTATGGATGATATTGGTCGCGAAAGCCTACGTGTTCAACTCAATTGTTGTATAGCACTTCTACGCTCTGCGTCTATGCTCGCCGTCTTCACCAATCCGTACTGACCAGCATGGTGAAGTTTGGTCAAAACCCACCCACCCCAGGAACTGCACGGCGCGAGGGGAGACGCTCATCCAGCAGCGGAGTGAGACGTGCGTGCATTGTCGTTGCAGGTGCAGCTGGTGCACTCTCTCGCCAGGGCAAGGCAACGCTGGGGCAGTCCAGGGGAGGGGCAGCTGCCCACCCACTTGGGGGGATGGGCCCATTTGGGGGGCTGGGCCCCCCGCAGCGATGAGGCGGGCCCCCCTGGGACTCTGCCCGCCCGAGTGTGGATGCTCGGCACTCCTCACCGCCTCCACAAACCGCCGGCGGCGTTCACACGGTGCCCCCCTGTAGCTCCTGAGTGTGCTCGTGTGCACCGGTGTACATCAGAGGTCGCAACCGGGTACCCGATACCCGTACCCTACCCGATACCCGGCTACCCGTACCCGGCCCGGTACGGGTACCCGTTTGCGACCCTGGTGCGGCCGGGTACGGGTAGGCCGTGAGTCACTGGTGAGTAACCGTTTATCACTCATTTCCCAGCGTCTTGTCTCTTCTCACAATTCAAGTTCCTAGAATCAACCCACCCGCGCCTGCAACATGGCTTCATCCAGAGAGGTCGCAATCAGGTACCCGATACCCGTACCTTACCCGTACCCAGCCGGGTACGGGTAGGGTACGTGTATGGCCAGGTACGGGTACGGGTACCCGTTTGCGACCCTGGTGCGGCCGGGTACGGGTACGGGTGAGAAATCAAAACCCGTTTGCGACCTCTGGTGTACATGTACGGCGTGCGTGTGTTTGTCTGTGTGTTTTACACGTGTGTAATAATCCTTCTGAGACGGCTTCGGAATCAGTCCTTTTATTTCCACTCCACAATACACTTTGCTCACTCTCCGTTGCTGGCAGACAACGGAGAGAGGACAGACTTCGCACTATGTCCCCACCGCGCACGTGGCACCCAGAGCCCCGTCCGCGCGTGACCCTGCTCTTGTCAATTACCGTCTGCTCCTGAGCGTTCTCTCTCCCTCTCTCTTAATACCTCCGTCACGTGGTCCCCCCAGCCAATCGTTCATGGACAGCTTCGACCATTCTCGATGGTTCCCTGTCAATCCCGGGACCACGCCCCTCATCCGGCTCCCCATTTGCTGGGGCCCCGAATGACTAGGCCAATAACTCCTGATGACATGTCGTGATGACGCCTGGGCCATGGTCCCTATCTCAACCCTTATTGGCTACAAGCAGGACCGGCAAGCCAATCCCCACGTGAACCCTCTATGGCTGTTATTACACGTGTGTGTGTGTTTGTGTAAGGGTCTCTCTGTGTGTAGACGCGTGTCTGTTTACGTGGGGAGCCGGTAGTGTAGTGGTTAGCACCATGCTGCGCAATTGAACTCGGCGACCCGGGTTCGATTCCCGTGCACGGGCAATGCCGGTGACGAATATCTGAACCGGTCCTGATCCTCCCCTGGGTCGACTCAGCTTCAAATAAGTACCTCGTGCGGTGCGTGTAGTAAACATCGCCACTGGAGAGACAAAGGCCGGGCGTGGTGTTGACCACCCACCCCCTTGTGTGCCGTGCCGGCCTTCATAGGTGCTCGCTAATAGCACTTGCCCCAACAGTCTGCTAAGGCTATGCGGGGGATCTTTGTCTTTTGTGAGTGTGTTTACATGTAATGTCTAGACACAGTGCCATCGGTGAGCTCCTCTGGCAGGCAAGGCTGCATTGGCTGGGTCATGTAGCCCGCATGCCCAGCCACCGAATGGCCAAGCAGCGTGTGTTTGGCCGCATAGAGGGGGCTAAACGGGCACAGCACGGTCTCGAGCAGAGGTGGCCTGATGCGGTACAGGAGGATGTGGAGCTGAGTGGACTTGCCGACGATTGGTACCAGCGGTGTCAAGATCGGCCTCTGTGGAGGAGGCTCCTGAAGGATGCTGCTGGGCAGTTGTAGGCAGTCGCCCTCCAACAGCAACGGAGGGCCGAGTGGCTAAAGCACAGCGAGTTGGCACAGTCGGGGGCACAGTTGGTGCATCTGCCAGTCATTTTCAGTCAACTCATGGCACCTGGGTCTGTTGCGTGACCTCCTGCCAGCGTGCCTTCGGCACTTCCTGTGGCCTCAAAGTTCACATAGCCTGTCACAATCGCTGTGGTGACGTCACCACCACTAAGTGGTGAACAACGATCGTTGCGTTATGTTGTTTAGCTCTCTGATGTGTGTTCAGCTTGTGCCGCGTGTTATTCTTGTGTTAAGATGCACGTGTTTTCGCAAGCACGGTTAATTCAATCGTCGGCACGCGGACATTCGCGTTTGCAGTCGAATGTCAACGCATGTGTAGTGTCGTGCGTATGTGTAGCACACAGTCGTAGACGAGGTAGTTGCATAGAGGCACCTTTTATTCGTTACACCATTCCGGCCGTTCACACACACTGGATCGTCTCCTCTCCCGACCACGTTGCCGTACAGCCCGGCCTAGACACAACCCTAACCGCGTTGCACCAACGGCGTCGACCGAGACAGCCAACAACTGTCCGGCCGCGCAATTATCGGGCGAAGGCGGCAGCGACGAAGGCGGCGACGACGACAGCGATGACGTGACGAGTCCATTCCCAGAAACGGCAGCCCAGAGCTCTCGCTCTCTGCTGCTTTTATTCTATTCGGCGCGGCCTGGCGCAGCCTGGCTCCACCCTGGCCACGCCTCTCCTTCTCGAATCCACTAGCGGGTATTAATTCTAGATTTGAAGCTTTTGTGACTGCAAGGATTCATACTCTTAGGTTTTTTCGGTAATTTAAATTTAATTTTTTTACCTACGTGACCTTACCGAAAAAACCTAAGAGTACCACTAGCGGGTTCTAGGGCCCTCTAGATGAGGTCTTCCGTGACCCTTCCCCCAGTTCCTCCGCCCTGCCGGCACACACACCGTGTATATGCTCGACGGTGTGTGCGCGAACTGTCCACCGCAGTTGCCGCCACTGGACAGCAGGCGGCGCTGTGTCACTACACATGTAAAACGGTGTGCCTGCGTCTTTTTCCATCAGGAATGGTGAATTGCTGCCGCATGTGAGGGGGGCCGAGACTGAAGATGAAATTGCTGCGAGGGAAGTCAGAAACCTTGCCGATGACGTGGGTACGTTGTTCTTACTCATTATTGGTATCATTTCCAAATTAAGGTTTTCCCGCTCTTGTATTCCCTGTACACGCTCATCTCATTGATCAATCCGCTGCTATGTAAATGTTACGTCATAACCCACGTGCGTGCATGATGTTTTTCCTAACTTGTTTTTATTTTTGACAGTGGATGGAAATGTGCTTTGTACTTTGACTATATACATTGTAGATTAGCTCTCCGGCGTGTAAGCTTTTTTTTTCGGGGGATAGCATGCGTTGTTCAGCAATTAGCAACCTTTGTACCCTTGGCTTCACCACCTCCACAGGAAACTAAACTATAATTTTATATTTAACCAGGTGTAAGGCCCACTTAGCTGCATATCTTGTTTTCAGAAGTGACCTGGCTATCACAAACGATAACTCAACGAAGTGGCTTATCACGTGGAAATGTATAACAGCTGAATACTCTAAAATGCACGCTGATTCTAAATGTGGAGGGAAAAACCAGAGAAAAATCCACGCGGCCACGGGGAGAGAAACACGCAAACTCCAAATATGCAGCAGCAGGCGTCAGGGTCGGAATCGAACCCACGACCTCCTGTACACCAGGCGAGATAGTTCTCTGGAAGGGGAGTGGAGTGAAGGATGTAATGGATGGGAAAGAGAAGGAATGGGAGATGAGAAGATAAGGACGGAGAAGGAACGGAGAAATGGGAACAGAGGGTGCAGGAGAGATGAGGAGAGGGAGGAGGAAGAGGCTGCGTGAGGGCCTTGACGCTGCTCCTGCACAGTGGAGTTTATTTCAAGAGGGGGCAACAGGGAGATGGGAAGGGTTCAGAGTGGGGGTGACCCAGAGGTCGCAACCGGGTACCCGATACCCGTACCCTACCCGATACCCGGCTACCCGTACCCGGCTGGGTACGGGTAACCGTTTGCGACCCTTGTGCGGCCGGGTACGGGTACGGGTAGCCGCACGTGACTCACCCCAAACAATGAGTGAGAAGGCCGTGAGTCACTGGTGAGTAACCGTTTGTCACTCATTTCCCAACGTCTTGTCTCTTCTCACAATTCAAGTTCCTAGAATCAACCAACCCGCGCCTGCAACATGGATTCATCCCAGAGGTCGCAATCGAGTACCCGTACCCTACCCGATACCCGGCCGGGTACGGGTAGCCGGGTATCGGGTAGGGTATGGGTACCCATTTGCGACCCTGTTGCGGCCGGGTACGGGTACGGGTAAGGAATCAAAATCCGTTTGCGACCTCTGGGGTGACCACAGAAGTCACGTGATTCACATGAGGGTGAAACCGATGTAGATATACCGATGACGGCTGACATTCCCTTCCACGTGCCCAGTAACTGAACCATTGGGGAATTGAAGCTCTTAGCGCTACGGAGCGAAACGTCGGGACATCGTGTCCAGAGGACGGCACAGGCGCGAACGATCCGGAATGGCACGCGAGAGTTTAGTAGACGGCGCGCCGAACCTGAAAACGTGGACGGGGTGTACGTGTACGTCGCGTGCGACTTGCGAACGTGTCGTCGTTTTTCTCTCTCACTGCAGTGGCGCAGAAGGTGGGGTCAGACGTGGTCCAGAGGGTGACCGAGCGACGTCGGTCGAAGCACGAGGCCGCCCTGCGCGACTTCTCCGTCGCGCTCGGGCAGATCAACTCGGTGAGCGATAACGGAGCGTGGGGAAATGCCTTTAGAGCCCGCGGGCTGGCTAGATGTGGCACGTGACTTCGTTTGTTCGGAAGCCACCAGAGATGTGAACTTTGAAATCATGGAGGTTGAAAACTTGCCACGTACGAACCACGACGCTTCGCCGACCTCGTCAAGGAACATAAACCGTCACGCAAACTCCGGTCACCCTCCCAGCGGCGGCTTTTGGCTAAGCCATCATCTGATGATGATTGCTTTTGTTGCAGTGGAAACGTCGTGTGAATTTTTTTTGTTTTATATTTTTATTATTTTATTATTTCCCTTCTACGTGACTTTACCGAAAGAACCAATAAACCAGATGCTAAGATGTTCAAACACCAAATAGAAACCCTTTGCAAGGAATCGTGTCTGCATTAACCACAAGTACTTGTGGTGAACATGCAAACAAAACGAGGGTAAAACCGATTCTTATTTTCCTGTGTTTAGTTTTGTGTCCATCCCCTCCGCACCTCCAATTTGCACGGTTGGCTACGTACGGTGCTGCGAAAGAAGGTCAACATACGTACGCACACAGTTATCCATAATGCAGGTTTTTTGGGTTAGATCGCAAAAATATGTGTCTCTAAACCCGCCACCTCCCGACACAGCTAATTAAGGTTTGTCACGTAAACAGAACACGCCAATTCGTTGGCATGCCAACCCAAAAAAACTGTATTATGGATGATATTGGTCGCGAAAGCCTTCGTGTTAAACATACAAAGTTAGTTTGCGTGAAAAACGATAATCGATTCAAGAGTCGGTGTTCGCGCGCTTGTTTTCATAGCACCGAGTACCACCTCTCATTCACATTTTTGGGTCTCTTTTGCGTTACTGATACAACCTCATCTGCTGCGCCATTCCTATTGCTGCGGTTATACCATCTGGATTGGAGTTCTGTGCAGCCCCCGCAACAAAAACCTCTCTTCCCTCCTGAACCCATTGGGCCCTAACCCGATCGATATAAACCGACTCATGGGATTTCAATGCGCACGCTTGCAGGATCTGGAGCGTCGCTACGAGGAGGCTGGGGAGAGGCTTCATGGTGATTTGTCCGCGAGCGACGCCGGCATGGAAGAGCTGATGTGCAGCGTGGAGGGCGAAGGGAAGCTTGCATCGGTGTCATTTCAGGTGCAAAGATAAATATCCCCCCCCCCTCCCCGTATAGCCTCAACAGACTGTTGGGGCAAGTGCTGTTAACGAGAAACATCTCAACACCTATGAAAGCCGGCATGGCACACGAGGGGCAGAGGGGGGATGGGGCAGCGGGGGGGTAAAGCGTGCATGCTCCCACCTCTGCCAAGACGTCTCGCCAGCTTGGGATAGTAGCGTCACGATACCCTTTGGAGGGGAGCCCTCTAGACATCAGAGGTCGCAAACGGGTTTTGATTCCTTACCCGTACCCGTACCCGGCCGCACCAGGGTCGCAAACGGGTACCCGTACCCTACCCGATACCCGGCTACCCGTACCCGGCCGGGTATCGGGTAGGGTACGGGTATCGGGTACCCGATTGCGACCTCTGGGATGAAGCCATGTTGCAGGCGCGGGTGGGTTGATTCTAGGAACTTGAATTGTGAGAAGAGACAAGACGTTGGGAAATGAGTGACAAACGGTTACTCACCAGTGACTCACGGCCTACCCGTACCCGTACCCGGCGGGGTACGGGTAGCCGGGTATCGGGTAGGGTACGGGTATCGGGTACCCGATTGCGACCTCTGCTAGACATCCCACTCAGCGCGGTGGTTCTTAACATTTTACTGCAGCCGACACGGAATGGCACGAACGTTGTCGTTGTCGGTGCGGATCAACTTTGCCATTTTGCATCGCAGCCCTGTAGAGGAAAATCTCGCAGAGCATGGCTTGACGATGACGACGACGACATACGAGATTGGCGCATCAGAACGACGTTGCCGCGTGAACACGTTGTCATCACAGGAGAGAGGAGAGTGGAAACAACATATAACGGCATGTGCAGTGGACCACACCAACTGCGGGCTGTGTGCACCCGTGGATTGTTGACGACGACGACGATGACGTGAGCCGGCAAATCGTGTCGCCACTTCGTCTGTGGAGTGGCGGGGGAGGGGAGGTCACTCTCAGACTTGCTTCTCGGGATCTGTCGCCCCCCAACCTTTTCCGTTCAAGGAGCTGGAGGCGGCGTGGTCGGACGTAGAGAAGCGTTCGGAATCGCGAGAGGCCCGGATTCGCGACTTGGACGTTGCCTATGGGAGGCTGGAGGATGAGAGGGCGGACAAGGTGAGGCTTGTGTTGGTCACGATTGGGACCGCTGCCTTTAAGTGCCTCTGTCCCTTTGTTGTCCTTACCCCCATTACTTACTCGTAGTACAGAGTTAGACTGATGGCCTTAATCTAAGTTGTCTTGTGGTTGTTGTTGTTTGACTTTCATGGCTTTATTTTGGTGGTTTTGAAAAGTTTACTGGTTTGGCCATGTTTGTTTGTTGTAGTACAGAGTTAGACTGATGGCCTTAATCTAAGTTGTCTTGTGGTTGTTGTTGTTGTTTGACTTTCATGGCTTTATTTTGGTGATTTCGAAAAGTGTATTGGTTTGGCCATGTTTGTTTGTTGTAGTACAGAGTTAGACTGATGGCCTTAATCTAAGTTGTCTTGTTGTTGTTGTTGTTTGACTTTCATGGCTTTATTTTGGTGATTTCGAAAAGTGTATTGGTTTGGCCATGTTTGTTTGTTGTAGTGCAGAGTTAGACTGATGGCCTTAATCTAAGTTGTCTTGTGGTTGTTGTTGTTGTTCGACTTGCATCCCACTGGGATTTTTGCACACAGTGTTGGTGTGCGGTGCTTTTTCTGCAATATTTTGCTGTCTTTTCTTGGATTTTCTGTTTGCACATATTCACTTTAAGATGTTTTCTTGTTCATGTCTTTGTTTTTTTTGTTTGTTGCGGTTGCACCCGATTCAAGAGCCGAATGGCTCACAGGGCTATACCTAATCAATGAACTTGAAACTTGAAACCCCCCCCACCGCGCACCTCCGATTAGCGCGCGGTCGGCTGTGTACGACGGTGCGCGAAAGACGTTCACCGCACGTACGATGCGCAGTCCTCAACCACCACTCAAATTCTCAGGCCTCTGCTCTGAAGAAGAGCCTTTACCGATAACCTTGCCTGTCATAGATTTATATACAGCGACGGCTGCACTCCGGCTCCGGGTTGCCGTTGACACACGCGGCGCGCTCTCGCACACTCAGATCGGCCGGGCGCTGAGGACGTACGCTCAGCTGATGGAGAGAATTGCCTTCGTCCGGCCTGAAGAAGTCCAGCGCTTGATGGACGGGGAGGCAATGGTGACGATGCGTGCACCGCGCTACCAAGTGACGCCACCTCCATTTGCATCGTCATTGCCATCGTCACCGGCTTCATCATTGTCATCGTTAGATTTTTTTCATGGATGTATGTTGAACTCCTTTACATTATGCACTACACTCCTATACACTATACAGTACACTATACATTACTATACACTACACTATACACTACACATGGGGCTCTATGAGTGACTCCATCTCCATTTGCATCGTCATTGCCATCGTCACTGGCTTCATCATCTCCCTGCCTCCTAATTTTTTCAAGCTTTCGTATCGTACCACTCATCGTGCTACTCATTGACATGCTAATTTCTCTAACCCCTCCCTCTCTCTCCGCCCCCGCCCCCCCCTTTCTCTATTTAAGGCCTCGACACAGAGGCGTAGTTTCTCTTTGTGCCTATGTTTGTTCTCTCTCTATGTATCTCTGTGATATCTGTCTGCTTATATGTCTGTCTATGTTTCTCGTTCTGTGTTTAATCTCTCTCAAATTTAGCATTCTCAGGAAAAACGTAATCAACCAGGTAGGGTGTTGACTGTTATGTTATCCGACTCTCTGTTGTATTACATTACATTTCTAAGTATACTAGATTTGTGTTTCTATTTAATTTATACCTGATGATGATTGCTTGTGTTGCAATCGAAACGTCGTATGCTAGTATTTTATTTTATTTATTATTTTGTCTTTATACGTGACTTTACTGAAAGAACCAAATAATAATTCATCATTGTCATCGTCAGATTTTTTTCATGGATGTATGTTGAACTCCTTTACATTATACACTACACTCCTATACACTTTACATTACTATACACTACACTACTATATACTACACTTTACACCACTCTACTATACATCGTTAACATGGGTTCTACTGTATAATTATAACATAATTGTCAAATCCGAACATGAAATTGTCACTTGTCCCAAGCGCTAAACGTGCCAACCAGAACATTTGACACCACCAAATTTAGCAATTAGATATGACGCTTCATTTGACACTGATCCCGCGCATCTTCAGGAAGTCAGAATAAACTCCGGGAAAGTTAGAATGGTTGTCACGGTAATATTGTCATATTTATCAGGAGGGTCCTGCTTGCTCGACTGGAATTTTTATTTTAACAAAATATTCAGCCAATTAATGGTGAATCATGTTTAGTATTCACGTAGGGAGGACACCGGAGCACCGGGATAAACCCCGTGCCTTGCGTGGGGAGGAAACGCCGAATCCCCGTACAGATGGAAACAGATGGAGATTAACCCTCACTTTGTTTTCTTTCTTCTTGGTTCTTTCGGTAAAGTCACGTAAAAGGGAAATAATAAAATAAGAAAAATAAAACATAATAAAATAAAATAATACAATATTATAATATATGATGTATATAGTAATATATTTAATACTATATTTATAATTATATATTTTATATACAATAATATTTTTATTATTTTATTATTTCCCTTCTACGTGACTTTACCAAAAGAACCAAGAAGATGAATCCAAGCAGTCACGAAAGCTTTAAATCGAAACCTCACTTTGTTGTGCCGCCTTTTCCCGGCAGAGCCAGGTTGCCATCTCCTCCTCGTCACCCACCCAAGCGATAGGAGTTTTGCAACAGCTGCCTATGATAAAAACACGTATTTTTTTTTTTCGATTTAAAGCTTTCGTGACTGCAGGGATTCATCTTCTTGGTTCTTTCGGTAAAGTCACGTAGAAGGGAAGTAATAAAATAATAAAAATAAAACATACTATAATAATTCTCACGACGTTTCTTTTCCGGCCACAACGCAAGCCACAACGCAAGCAGCCGTCCTCAGGTGAAGACCAGACAACGCAAGCAGCCGTCCTCAGGTGAAGACCAGACCTGGTCTTCACCTGAGGACGGCTGCTTGCGTTGTGGCCGAAACGTCGTGAGAATTATTTTATTATGTTTTATTTTTATTATTTTATTACTTCCCTTCTACGTGACTTTACCGACTTTACCGAAAGAACCAAGGAGATGAATTTAATTTAATTTTTAAGAATGAGTGAGTGGTGTAAATGAATGAGTTAACGTGTATTTCCCCGACCACCACCACCACCTCCGCCACCACCACCCCCTCCTCGTGCGCCCCAGATGCTGAATCAGTCGCTGCTCGCGAACCGACGCGCGCTGTCGCGTCTCTCGCTGCACCTCTCCGAATCGGGGCTGCAGCTGGAGGCTTCGCTCAGGCAGCGCTGGGAGGAGGCCCTGCGGATGTGGAGAGGACTGAGACGGGCGGCCGTGACGAAGGAGTTCCGGTCGGTGGTCGTCGTTTTTTTTTTTACGCGCTCTTATTTTTTAACTCACTTCGTGTGTTGTTGTATCCTCGAAAAAGAAATCTTGTGACTCGGTATTGACACACTTCCCAATGTCGTATCGAATGCAAACTTGGTATAGGTATTCATAATAAAGGTTTTTGGGTTTAGATCGCGTTCATCTTCTTGGTTCTTTCGGTAAAGTCACGTAGAATGGAAATAAAAAAAATAATAAAAATAAAACATAATAAATTAATTCTCACGACGTTTCGGCCACAACGCAAGCAGCCATCCTCAGGTGAAGAACAGGTCTTAGAGTCGCGGCATCTCTTCAGAAAGGTGAGAGACTCGATTAGCTGAGCCTTCTTATCACGGAGCTTGTTAAACTTTAAGAGCCTTCAACAAGCTCCGTGATAAGAAGGCTCAGCTAATCGAGTCTCTCACCTTTCTGAAGAGATGCCGCGACTCTAAGACCTGGTCTTCACCTGAGGACGGCTGCTTGCGTTGTGGCCGGAACGTCGTGAGAATTATTTTATGTTTTATTTTTATTATTTTATTACTTCCCTTCTACGTGACTTTACCGACAGACCTGTTCTTCACCTGAGGACGGCTGCTTGCGTTGTGGCCGAAACGTCGTGAGAATTATTTTATGTTTTATTTTTATTATTTTATTACTTCCCTTCTACGTGACTTTACCGAAAGAACCAAGAAGAGGGTTTCAGCGGTTGCTCCGTGAGGCCCACTTCTGCGGGACCGCTCTGTGATGCAGCTCTCCCTACCAGAGACATCAAAAAGCGAGAAAGATGTGAAAAAAAAATCTGCGGTGAATCAGCACGCTTACGACCCGACGCTCGATGCAATGTCACCCCCCCCCCCTCACCCCCTCTGCCCCCCTTTTTCTGCTCAGCGAGTTCATGGAGCGCCACCAGCTGCGTAGTCCACCTGGGGCGGACGCTCTGGTCCAGGCGACGGCGGATGGACAGAGGGAGCTGAACGAGCGACGGATCCGGCTGATCAACTCGCTAGAGTGGGTCGCGGTTTTTGCCGCGCGCGCTCAAAGTTCTTCGCGGCGATTGGAAAAGCAACGGGCTGCGTTCACGACTCCGGTTGTTGCCTCGGGCAAAAAGCGCGCGTGTCGCATGAGCGGTCGGCGTCGTGGGTGGGGAGCGGCGGTGCAGCGGTTAGCACTGTCCCGCGCCACGAACCCGGCGACCCGAGTTCGATTCCCGCTCACAGCCACCGACACCATCAGTGACGATTATCTCAACCGTTCATGGGCCCTTCCCTCGGTCGACTCAGCCTCAAATGAGTACCTGGTATGGTGTGTTAACATCGCCACTGGGGAGACAAAGGCGGCCGGGCGTGGTCCCGGCAACCCACCCCGTCGTGTACTGTTCCGGCCTTCATAGGTGCTCGCTAACAGCACTTGTCCCAACAGTCTGTTAAGGCTATATGGGGGATCTTTGGTGTTGTGAGTGACGGTTGCACATTATATATAGACAGAAACAGAGAGACTCAAACATCGACCCTTATACTCACACAGCGACCTATAGACTTACAAAGATAGACATCTACTCAACAAATAGACACGTTCGACCCACACAGAGAGCCATAGACTGGCATAGAGACCCACAGACTTGCATAGAGACCAATAAACTCACACACAGAACGATAGACTTTACAGAGACTCATAAACTCTCAGAGAGACCCACCGAGTTACACAGAGATCCATAGACTCGCGTAGAGACTCACAGACTCGCGTAGAGACCCATCATATATACGACGTGATGTAAGCGATGAATTTCACATCACGGGCAAGCGACAAAGTCACAACAAGGCGACGGATCTTTCATAACGGCAGATTGTTTTAATCGGTGCCATCTTACTCGGCTGATGAGACCCGTTAGGTCGAAACCAATGAAGACTTTGACTGCTTTGACATCTTTAGAGCGACCCCTAATCCTATTTACACTGGAGGAATCCGGCGTGCTTTGAAGTTCTCTCTTTCATAGCCACCTGGTCGTTCTTCGCGGATGTCCAGCATGGCCCGGCCGTCACAATCCGCCTCTCTCTCTCCTCTTCCTTCGCCCCCCCCCCCCCGCCCTCCCCCGCCACCACCCGACGTTCACACAGAGACCTGAAGCCGCCCAGCGTCACGGCGGAGGCGGTGAGCGCGTGGAGCTCATCCCTGGATGCCCTCAATCGGCAGATCGGTACGAGGGATGAGCCGGGGCAGCCGGGCGGGGCAGCTTGCATCCACGCAGAGCGACTGTCACAGATTCAATTCTCAAGCGGGGGTACAGTGATACCTCGGTTCACGAACGCTTCTGTTCACGAACAACTCGGTTCACGAACAGAAAAGTTCATAAAAATACGCTCCGGTTCACGAACTCCGCTTCGGTTCACGAACAGGAGCCGCGGCCATTTTAATGCTATTTCCAGGCTGTCACATGGTCGTGACTTCCTGTAGGAAGATCGTGGAGAGAAGAAGAGACACAGAAAGAAGTACTGTGACTACTGTGAAGACACTTTCAGTGACTTTTTGCTTTTTGGTGTGCTTTTTAGCACATGCAGTACTGTACTGTACTACTGTACTGTACAATACTGTACTTACTGTATTGTACAGTTCACCCGTTTGAGTGCTTACTGAAGTCATCTTAAGCAAGGTTAGTGTTCTCTCTTTATACATTACTATACTGTACATTACTAATGTGTATTGTTATTTGTTTCATATTTTTGTGCTTCAAAAACCAAAAAAAAAGGTCAGAACGGATTAACCGGATTTACATTGAACCCTGTGGGGAAATGTGCCTCGGTTCACGACAAATTCGGTTCGCGACCAGAGTCAGTTCACGAATTAAGTTCGTGAACCGAGGTATCACTGTATTTAGCCGTTCATTTGGGGAGTTCCGGGAGTTGGTGAATCGCAGATGCAGCCCACTCGCTCGCTGTCTCGCTCGCTCGTCCACTCAATTGGGGTTACACACAGCAGCGGTAACATCGAGCACTTCACTGCGGAAACTTGGCACGAGTCTCCGGCAAAAAGTTGTTGTCCTTGACCCGCACCTCCGATTAGCACGGTTGGCTACGTACGGTGTGAAGGAAGTTCAACATACATACTGCCTATAGGCTAACACTAGCCACAGACTCAACACTGCCCATAGACTCAACACTACCCATAGACTAAACACTGGCCATAGACTCTACACTGCCCATAGACTCTACACTGCCCATAGACTCAACACTGCCCATAGACGAACACTACCCATAGACTCAACACTGCACCATAGACTCAACACTGCCCATAGACTCAACACTACCCATAGACTCAACACTACCCATAGACTCAACACTACCCATAGACTCAACACTGCCCATAGACTCAACACTACCCATAGACTCAACACTGCCCATAGACTCAACACTGTCCATAGACTAAACACTGTCCATAGACTAAACACTGCCCATAGACTCAACACTGCACCATAGACTCAACACTGCCCATAGACTCAACACCACCCATAGACTCAACACTGCACCTCCGATTAGCACGGCTGGCTACGTACGGTACGAAAGAAGTTTAACATACATACAATGGTACGAATAGTTTTGAGACTGAGCGAAGCTTTCCTGGGTAAACAAGCGTAACAATAACAACAACAATAACATGAACGTTGATAATGAAGTTGACAAAGGGGTGAGCGACACTTCATCCGTAGCACATTATAACGGAGTCGGTGGCGGGCGGCGGTGGTGGCGATGGAGTCGTGTCCCGTTTGGCCGAGCGTCTGTCTGTTTGTCTGTCTGTCTGTTCGTCTGTCTGTCTGTCTGTTCGTCTGTTCGTCTGTCTGTTCGTCTGTCTGTCTATCTGTCTGTTCGTCTGTCTGCTCGTCTGTTTGTTCGTCTGTCTGTTCGTCTGTCTGTTTGTCTGTCTGTTCGTCTGTTTGTTCGTCTGTCTGTTCGTCTGTTCGTCTGTCTGTTCGTCTGTCTGTTCGTCTGTCCGTCTGTTTGTCTGTCTGTTCGTCTGTCTGTTCGTCTGTTTGTTCGTCTGTCTGTTCGTCTGTTCGTCTGTCTGTTCGTCTGTTTGTTCGTCTGTCTGTTCGTCTGTTCGTCTGTCTGTTCGTCTGTCTGTTCGTCTGTCTGTCTGTCTGTCTGTTCGTCTGTCTGTCTGTCTGTTTGTTCATCTGTCTGTTCGTCTGTTCGTCTGTCTGTTCGTCTGTCTGTTCGTCTGTCTGTTCGTCTGTTCGTCTGTCTGTTCGTCTGTCTGTTCGTCTGTTTGTTCGTCTGTCTGTTCGTCTGTTCGTCTGTCTGTTCGTCTATCTGTTCGTCTGTTTGTTCGTCTGTCTGTTCGTCTGTTCGTCTGTCTGTTCGTCTGTCCCACCGGCAGACGAGCTGAACGTGCGCCACGTGGAGGGGCTGCGTGCCGAGTCCGAGGTCGCTCTCCGCCGGCAGCTGGACGAGGTGGAGCGATGCCGGGTAAAGGGGGGCTGAGGGGGGGCCCCCCGCTCCACGTGGCCACGGCTGCGCTCGTATCGCACGCTGCCTGCGTGCGCCGTGGAAGATCGCTCGAAATGTTCTTCTTCCTCCTGCCTCCTGCCCGCTCCCTCCTCCCTCCTCCTCTGTCCTCTTCTCGCGCGTCTGGCATTATGAGTGGCAAACTGAACGTGGAATTGTAGTTGTTGCTCTGCATCTACATCAGCCAGGAAGTAGCAAACTAAAAGTTCCGCCACTCAAGCTTATGCAAAGGAGAGCCGACACACGGTTGCAGGGGGTTCGTCTTTTATTCCTTTCCTCCCATCCACACCTGTCCCCAGCTGTCCCAATCTCGACCCCCTCTTCCCGCCCGTTCTCTCTCCCTTATATCTCCTCGCCTGCTCCTCCCCCTTCTCCTGTCACCGTCCCACTCCCCCTCCCATTGGTGGGAATCCTTCCCCTGACACCCCGACACTAGGATGGACACGCGGGCAGGCCGCAGATGCTGCTGAGAGGTATTGCTCTTCGACGCCGTCGCAAACATTTCCAAAGCCATCGCAACAGTCGGTGGTGTGGCCTGCCCCCTGTTCGGTTGGCGGTGTGGCCTGCCCCCTGTTCAGTCGGCGGTGTGGCTGGCCCCCTGTTCAGTCGGCGGTGTGGCCTGTTCAGTCGGCGGTGTGGCCTACCCCCTGTTCAGTCGGCGGTGTGGCCTGTTCAGTTGGCGGTGTGACCTGCCCCCTGTTCAGTTGGCGGTGTGGTCTAACCCCTGTTCAGTCGGCGGTGTGGCCTAACCTCTGTTCAGTTGGCGGTGTGGCCTAACCCCTGTTCAGTTGGCGGTGTGGCCGCCACGCTGTTCGGTCGGCGGTGTGGCCGGTCTGCCATTTGGGTGGCGGTGTGGCCACGGCCACCAACCACTGCCCGCCGCAGCGGAGAGTCAAGGGCACACACCGGTGAGAGTGTCGCGTGCCGTGGGTGACGACTTCCTGCGCGTGTACGCAGCTCGACCTGGTGGCGAGTGGCGTCTGTGCGGGCGAGGAGGAGGCCTGGGAGCTGGTGCGGCATCACCTGCTGCCGCTGGTGGGGGAGCGCCAGAGGGGCTACGAGGAGGAGCTCGCCTCCGTGGAGGTGCGGACAAACAAGGGCGAAGCTAGCCCCGGACACGTAGCAGAGGTCGCAAACGGGTTTTGATTCCTTACCCGTACCCGTACCCGGCCGCACCAGGGTCGCAAATGGGTACCCGTACCCGGCCGTACCCGTACCCTACCCGTACCCGGCTGGGTACGGGTAGGGTACGGCTGGGTACGGGTACCTGATTGCGACCTCTGGGATGAAGCCACGTTGCAGGCGCGGGTGGGTTGATTCTAGGAACTTGAATTGTGAGAAGAGACAAGACGTTGGGAAATGAGTGACAAACGGTGACTCACCAGTGACTCACGGTCTACCCGTACCCGGCCGCACCAGGGTCGCAAACGGGTACCAATTCCCGTACCCGGCCGTACCCGTACCCTACCCGTACCCGGCCGGGTACGGGTAGGGTACGGGTATCGGGTACCCGATTGCAACCTCTGGGATGAAGCCACGTTGCAGGCGTGGGTGGGTTGATTCTAGGAACTTGAATCGTCAGAAGAGACAAGACGTTGGGAAATGAGTGACAAACGGTTGCTCACCAGTGACTCACGGTCTACCCGTACCCGGCCGCACCAGGGTCGCAAACGGCTACCCGTACCCGGCCGGGTACGGGTAGTCGGGTATCGGGTAGGGTACGGGTATCGGGTACCCGGTTGCGACCTCTGCCGCGTAGCCATTAACGGACCGCCGGGGCGGGCGAGTGCTGTTAGCGAGCACCTATTAAGGCCGGCACGGCGCACCGATGTGGGGTGGCTGGTTGGCAGTACGTCCGGCCGCCTTTGGGGCCGTCCATAAATGACGTCACGCACCTAGGTGGGTGGGGGGGGTCAGACATTTCTGACGATGTGTGACGAGGGGGGGGGGGGGGGTTTGAGAAATGTGACGTCACATCAAAATGCGCAACTTGAAATAAATATTGAATTGTTATAACAACACTAATTGTTATAACAACACTCCTACAACATCAGAGTGCAGCACCACATAAAATACTTAAATACGCACTACACTGATAATAGTGTAAAGCGATTTGAAGCGTGTTTTATTTTCAAAATGGAAATATGGTTTTGGGGGGGGGGGGGCAGAGTTTTGTGACGTCATATTTGAGGGGGGGTCTGACTTTTTGTGACGCCGTGTGACGAGGGGGGGGGGGTCAAAAATCGTCCAAAATCGCGTGACGTCATTTATGGACGGCCCCTTTGTCTGCCCGGCACTGATGTTGTCATGCGTGCCATCGTCATCGGCATCATCATTGTCGTCGTCGTTGTCATTGCCATCATCATAGTCATCGTCGTCGTCATCGCCATCATCATCATCATTGTCATCGGCATCGTCATTGCCATCATCATCGTCATCGTCATCGCTATCATCATTGTCATCATCGTTGTCATCGCCATCATCATCGTCGTCATCATCATCATTGTCATCATCGCCATCATTATTATTGTCGTCATCACCATCATCATTATTATCATCGTCATTGTCATCTCTGACATCATCATCGTCATCATCGTTGTTGTCATTGTCGTCGCGATCATCATTATTGCCATCATCATTGTCGTCCTTGTTGTCATCGCCATCATCATCATCGTCGTCGCCATCGTCGTCGTCATCATCATCGTCATCATTGTCATCGCCATCATCATCGTCGTCGTCGTCGTCGTCATCATCATCATCATCACCGTCATCATCATCACCGTCATCATCGTCATCATCGTCGCCATCGTCATCGTCGTCGTCGTCGTCGTCATCATCGTCGTCGTCGCCATCATCATTGTCTTCGTGATCATCATCATCGCCATCGTCGTCGTCATCATCATCGTCATCACCGTCATCATCATCATCGTAATCATCATCGTCATCCCCATTATCATCATCATCATCATCGTTGCCATCACCGTCATCATTACTGTCGTCATCACCGTCGTCATCATCGTCGTCATCACCGTCATCATCATCATCGTAATCATCATCGTCATCCCCATCATCATCGTCATCACCGTCATCATCATCGCCATCGTCGTTGTCATCATCATCGTCATCACCGTCAGCATCATCATCGTAATCATCATCGTCATCCCCATTATCATCATCATCATCGTTGCCATCACCGTCATCATTACTGTCGTCATCACCGTCGTCATCATCGTCGTCATCACCGTCATCATCATCATCGTAATCATCATCGTCATCCCCATCATCATCGTCATCACCGTCATCATCATCGTCGTCGTCATCATCGTCGTCACCGTCCCGCGTGCGTCCTCGCGCAGGCAGCGCTGGAGCGGCAGGCGCGCCGCGCGGCGTCACGGAGCCGCCAGCTCGCTGCCTTCGCCCGCGGGGCGGCGCGGCTCTGGGAGCGCCACGTGGAGCAGCTGGCGCGGCGGGACGCGCGGCTAAGGGACAGGATGGAAGCGTCGCGCAGGGAGCACGACATGGCCAACCAGGTGGGCCTCGTCGCCGACCCCTGACCACGGAGGACCAGTTTATTCATTAGGCACCCACCACCGTCTCGTATTCACCACAATGCATTGCGGGCTCTGGAGTCCTTTTTTTTAATTTGAATTAATTTTTTTTGTGTTGCCGACCTCCCCCCCCCCCCGCCCCCCTGGCCAAACCTCAGCCGCGATGATGTTGGTGTTGTTTGTTTGCATTCTCCCGGCTCTGTTCCTCCACCACCGCTCCCATCACCTCTCCACCACCGCTCCCATCACCTCTCCACCACCGCTCCCATCACCACTCCACCACCGCTCCCATCACCTCTCCACCACCGCTCCCATCACCTCTCCACCACCGCTCCCATCACCTCTCCACCACCGCTCCCATCACCACTCCACCACCGCTCCCATCACCTCTCCACCACCGCTCCCATCACCACTCCACCACCGCTCCCATCACCTCTCCACCACCGCTCCCATCACCACTCCACCACCGCTCCCATCACCTCTCCACCACCGCTCCCATCACCTCTCCACCACCGCTCCCTTCACCTCTCCACCACTGCTCCCTTCACCTCTCCACCACCGCTCCCTTCACCTCTCCACCACCGCTCCCTTCACCAATCCACCACCGCTCCCTTCACCACTCCACCACCGCTCCCTTCACCACTCCACCACCGCTCCCATCACCACTCCACCACCGCTCCCTTCACCACTCACCACCGCTCCCATCACCTCTCCACCACCGCTCCCATCACCACTCCACCACCGCTCCCATCACCACTCCACCACCGCTCCCATCACCACTCCACCACCGCTCCCTTCACCACTCCACCACCGCTCCCTTCACCACTCCACCACCGCTCCCTTCACCTCTCCACCACCGCTCCCTTCACCTCTCCACCACCGCTCCCTTCACCACTCCACCACCGCTCCCTTCACCTCTCCACCACCGCTCCCTTCACCTCTCCACCACCGCTCCCTTCACCACTCCACCACCGCTCCCTTCACCTCTCCACCCCCCTCCCATCACCACTCCACCCCCGCTCCCATCACCACTCCACCACCGCTCCCTTGACCACTCCACCACCGCTCCCATCACCACTCCACCACCGCTCCCATCACCACTCCACCACCGCTCCCATCACCACTCCACCACCGCTCCCATCACCACTCCACCACCGCTCCCTTCACCACTCCACCACCGCTCCCATCACCACTCCACCACCGCTCCCATCACCTCTCCACCCCCCTCCCATCACCACTCCACCCCCGCTCCCATCACCACTCCGCCCCGCTGTCTGCGTCATCGTCATTCTCATCATCGTCTCCAAGCCAGTGCCATGGGGATCCTTACAGCGGGGGTGGTGGTGGTCCCCCCCCCCCGCTGGCTATTTGCTGTTCCGAGCCATAATCGATATGCACTCAGCCCGGGGGGGGGGGGGGTAGGGGGGGGGTCGTCAACCTCCGTCTCTGGAGCCGCGTGCGGGTGGCTCTTTTATGGACTGCGGTGGCAGCTCTTGAAAATTTTTTTGGTGTTTTTTTTGTCATCCTGGTTGGCGACCCCCTGACCACGGAAGTCAAGTTCACCGTGGACAGGGGGTCTGGCCACCTGTGTCTCTTTCACGGACCGCTTCGTGGCCGACCACCGTTTCGTATTCACCACAAATAAAAACTAACCCGTAAAAACAAAGTTTTTCACTATAAATCCTTTATATGCGTGGCGGCTTGAGTCCTCTCGTCCTCTGGCTTGAGATGGTTGCAATCTATGGGTCAGATGATTGTCTGCCAGTATGAAGCAATTGGTAATTAAATATTTAATTTGTTTTCCCTAAACAGTGTAAAATTTTTGATTTTTTTTCACGAAAATTAATTGTCACACAACGAATCTGTGTGGAAAATGTCAGCTCGATTGGATCACGGGAAGTGGGTTAAAAAACGAGCGAAAGATTTGCACGGTCCTAAGCAAGCAAGCAAGCACGCGAACTTAATATAAAGGATTTAAAAATATATTCGCCTGTGGAGGACGCGGGGATCGATCCCGCGACCTTTGGCATGGGAAGCGAGGGCGCTACCAACTGCACTACTCCGCCACGGCCTGTGGAGGGGTGACGCTCTGGGCTCTTATACTGTGACGTTCAGCCAAAGTGATGAATGCGTTCTATTTGAATATATGTAAAATAAATTTTTTTTGCCTAAAAAGTGTAAAATTTTGGGAATTTTTTTTCACAAACATTAATTGTCTGGCACAACGAGTCTGTGTGGAAAATGTCAGCTCGATTGGATCACGGGAAGTGGGTTAAAAAACGAGCGAAAGATTTGCACGGTCCTAAGCAAGCAAGCAAGCACGCGAACTTAATATAAAGGATTTAAAAAGTCTCTTCTTCGTCATCTTGGTTGCCCTCCCCCCCCCATCCGCGTTAGGCAAAGGAGGCGAGTCTGGACCTGCTGATGGATCAGCTGAGACAGGAGAGCTCTGAGCAGGCGTTGGAGGCCAGTCTGCAGAGAGCCCTCGGCAAGCTGGACTCCATCAAGTCGGGGTAAGGGTCACAGGCTCTCATCTTCTTGGTTCTTTCGGTAAAGTCACGTAGAATAAAAATAAAACATAATAAAATAATTCTCACGACGTTTCGGCCACAACGCAAGCAGCCGTCCTCAGGTGGAGAACAGGTCTGTCGAGGAGACAGCGTCTGAATGAGACTATGTCTCCTCGACAGACCTGTTCTCCACCTGAGGACGGCTGCTTGCGTTGTGGCCGAAACGTCGTGAGAATTATTTTATTATGTTTTATTTTTATTACTTTATTATTTCCATTCTACGTGACTTTACCGAAAGAACCAAGAAGATGAATCCCTGCAGTCACGAAAGCTTTAAATCGAAGGGTCACAGGGTCGTTCGACGCTGCCGCGCAGTGGCGACGCTCGTGCCCTCCTCGCAGCAACAAGGGACCGGGTTTGATTCCGTGACTCTAGATTTGAAGCTTTCGTGACTGCAAGGATCGAATATTCTTAGGTTTTTGCGGTAAAGTCACGTAGGTAATTTTTTAAAATTAAAACACAACAAAGACTCATTCCTGGCAGCGGTTTCAGCCTCACCACCTCTACATAACAAAAGGCTCAGTCCCATTTACACGCACCTTTACATCAGCCGCACCTTAACAACTCTTGGAACCTCCGAGTTCAACCAGTCTACACAACAAAGGCTCATTCCTAACAGCGGTTTCAGCCGCACCACCTCTACATAACAAAAGGCTCAGTCCCATTTACACGCACCTTTACATCAGCCGCACCTTAACAACTCTAGGAACCTCCGAGTTCAACTAATCTACACAACAAAGACTCATTCCTGGCAGCGGTTTCAGCCTCACCACCTCTACATAACAAAAGGCTCAGTCCCATTTACACACACCTTTACATCAGCCGCACCTTAACAACTCTAGGAACCTCCGAGTTCAACCAGTCTACACAACAAAGGCTCATTCCTAACAGCGTGCTTCAGCCGCACCGAACCTCACAATAATAATATCCAGGGCCTATACCTTGGCTCCTCCCACCCTCAACCAGTATATATACAAGGACTGTTATCTTGGAATTTCTCTCACTTGATACAGCTATCGTGCTGTGACGGTTCCACCTGAAGACGGAGGCTTGTGTTGCCTCCGAAACGTCGTGATTTTTATTTTATTTTTTATTTTACTTTTATTAATTTAAATTTTTCACCTACGTGACTTTACCGAAAAAACCTAAAAATATTGATTCCATGACTAGGGTGCCCTCTCTGTGTGGAGTTTGGAGGTCCTCTCCTACCCCCTGTTCTGCAGTGTGAGTGTTGAGTGTGGGGTGGGAGGAGGCTCGTGAAGGACGCTGCCTGCTGGGAATGTGGAGGCAGTCGCCCTCCGCCATGGTGAGTGTGTGGGGGGGGGGGGGGGTGTGAGTGTGTGGGTGAGAGAGTGAGTGAGTGTGTGGGTGAGAGGGTGTGGTGTGAGTGTGTGGGTGAGAGAGTGAGTGTGTGGGTGAGAGGGTGTGGTGTGAGTGTGTGGGTGAGAGAGTGAGTGAGTGTGTGGGTGAGAGGGTGTGGTGTGAGTGTGTGGGTGAGAGAGTGAGTGAGTGTGTGGGTGAGAGGGTGTGGTGTGAGTGTGTGGGTGAGAGAGTGAGTGTGTGGGGGGGGGGGGTGTGAGTGTGTGGGTGAGAGAGTGAGTGAGTGTGTGGGGGGGTGTGGAGTGAGTGTGTGGGTGAGAGGGTGAGTGTGTGGGTGAGAGGGTGTGGTGTGAGTGTGTGGGTGAGAGAGTGAGTGAGTGTGTGGGTGAGAGGGTGTGGTGTGAGTGTGTGGGTGAGAGAGTGAGTGAGTGTGTGGGTGAGAGGGTGTGGTGTGAGTGTGTGGGTGAGAGAGTGAGTGTGTGGGGGGGGGGTGTGAGTGTGTGGGTGAGAGAGTGAGTGAGTGTGTGGGGGGGTGTGGAGTGAGTGTGTGGGTGAGGGGGTGAGTGTGTGGGTGAGAGGGTGTGGTGTGAGTGTGTGGGTGAGAGAGTGAGTGAGTGTGTGGGTGAGAGGGTGTGGTGTGAGTGTGTGGGTGAGAGAGTGAGTGAGTGTGTGGGGGGGTGTGGAGTGAGTGTGTGGGTGAGAGGGTGAGTGTGTGGGTGAGAGGGTGTGGTGTGAGTGTGTGGGCGAGAGAGTGAGTGTGGGGGGGGGGGTGTGAGTGTGTGGGTGAGAGAGTGAGTGAGTGTGTGGGTGAGAGGGTGTGGTGTGAGTGTGTGGGTGAGAGAGTGAGTGAGTGTGTGGGTGAGAGGGTGTGGTGTGAGTGTGTGGGTGAGAGAGTGAGTGAGTGTGTGGGTGAGAGGGTGTGGAGTGAGTGTGTGAGAGAGTGAGTGAGTGGGGGGGGGGGGGGGGTGTGAGTGTGTGGGTGAGAGAGTGAGTGAGTGTGTGGGGGGGTGTGGAGTGAGTGTGTGGGTGAGAGGGTGAGTGTGTGGGTGAGAGGGTGTGGTGTGAGTGTGTGGGTGAGAGAGTGAGTGAGTGTGTGGGTGAGAGGGTGTCCGGCAAAACAACCTCCTACCTCCTCGCGGTGCCGGACGGGCAACACTGTCGTGGGCAGTGCTGTGGGGGGAGGGCCAATGCCCATTGGCCTCTCCCCTCATGGCGTCTGTGACCACCACAGTGGCTAAACGGGGGCTCTGGACGGGTGTGAGGGGCTGGTAACCCCTCCACCTTCAATTAACCACCACTAAACCACGAATTAAACATAAACCTGTAACAAATAAGCTTGTGCCGGAGGCCCCGGGGGGTCAGGCTTTTATGACGTCTCCTGGCCAAACCCCATTTGGCGGAGCCAGGAGATTGAGTTTTCACCCTCGGGGCTCCTCCAGAAACAACAAAAAACCATTGCGGATGGCCACGTGGAATGTTCGAACGCTCACTGCGGAGGAGAGGCTGCCACTCCTCTGTCGGGAGCTGGACCGGTACCGCCTGGATCTCTGTGGCATTCAGGAGGTCCGGTGGACCGGTTCTGGCTCCTGCCACCATGAGGGGTGGACAGTCCTCTACTCGGGGCAGGAGACTGCCAAACAACAGGGTGTGGCTCTTCTTCTGAACAAAAGAATGAAGGGGGCATGGGAGCGTGGCGGTGAGGTGTGGGAAGCTGTAAGCCCCAGGATACTTTGGGCTCGCCTTCCCATCAACCAGAGGCGAGGAGTGGTGGTCGTGGTTACTTATGCCCCCACCGAAGACGAACATCCGTGGAGGGATGTAGGCAAAGCCGATGAGTCAGACGCTTTCTATGACCTCCTGTCACAGGTGCTGGCTAAAGTGGCCACTCGGGACAGAGTCATCTTGTTGGGTGACTTCAATGCCCGAGTTGGTCATGATGCTGGTACCTGGTCTGGAGTGATTGGAAGGCATGGGCCAGATCAGCTCAATAATAACGGTAGGAGGCTGCTAGATTTTTGTGCAGCCCATGGGCTTGTAATTACCAACACGCTCTTCCGGCATCGGCGCATCCACACAACATCATGGATACATGCCGGGTCCAAGCAAGAACATCTGCTGGACTACATAGTGACGGACCAGCGGATGCGAACCCATGTCCTTGACACCAGGACCTACCGTGGAGCTGATCTGTCCTCTGACCATCGACTAGTCATCTGTAAGATGCGCCTGCCTTTCTTCCACTCTGGTGGTGGGTGTACACCCAGGATCCCATTCCAACCAAAAGTGGCCTGGTCTCAGTTAGCTGATGAAAGTTGCAAGCGAGAATTTCATCATCGCTTGCAGCTGGGGTTGGCATCGTCCCCCACTCCACCTGATGTCGAGGGGAAATGGGCGAGGTTTAAGACTGTGACTCATGCAGCTGCAATGGCTGCTTTGGGTACGCGGTCCAGACCTCCCCAGAAACCCTGGCTGACAAAGGAGGTGTTCAGGTTAATTGAGAAAAAGCGTCAGGCCCACTCTCATCGCCTACAGCATCCCACGTCAGAGAATGAGGAGGTTTACCGCAGCCTTCGCTCGGAAGTTCGGAGAGCCGTAAGGCGCTGTAAGGATGGGTGGTGGTCGCGGGTTGCTGAGGAGATGGAGTCTGCCTCAGTGGCCCGTGATCACAAATCACTATTTAACTCCATCAAAAAAGTAACCTGCAGCGCCACACCTATTACCATCATTAGAGGAAAAAACGGTGATCCAATCTTCGACCCCCAGGAACAGGTTTGCAGATTTGCTGAGCATTTCTGTGAAGTCCTGGGGGAGGGAAATTCTCTCAGCCAGGAAAACATCATGGCACAAAGTGGTGATAACCCTGCTGAGGCTGCGGTGCCTCAAATATTGGAAGAGGTCACCCCCTGTGAGTGGCTGGCTGAGGTGCCAGCTGTTGAGGAAGTACTGAGGGCGATCCGGAGTCTGAGACCAGGGAAGGCATCGGGCAGAGATGATCTCCCAAGCGAAATGCTGAGGGAGGGTGGCGTTTGTGCACAGACTGCCCTATATGACATCATAACAACAGTCTGGACCACTGGACGGGTTCCGCAGGACTGGAAGGATGCCCTGGTGGTTCCCCTCTTTAAGAAGGAGGACCGTACCGACTGTAACAACTACAGGGGCATCTCACTCCTCAGTGTGCCGGGTAAGGTCCTGGCAAGGATTATTCAACATCGCCTTGCTAGGCACGCTGAGGAGAGGCTTGCGGAGCCCCAATGCGGTTTCAGGAAAGGGCGGTCCTGCACAGATGCCATATTTTCTGTCCGTCTGCTACAGCAGAGGTGTAGAGAATTCCAAAAAGACCTACATCTCTGCTTTATTGACCTGGTCAAGGCCTATGATACCATCAGTAGGACTGGGCTCTGGGTTGTTCTTCGTGCTTTCGGAGTCCCTGACCCTCTGCTCACGATCATTAAGGACCTTCATGATGGTGAGCGGGCCCGGGTAAAACTACGTGGCCGGGAGTCGGAGCCTTTCCCTGTACACCTTGGGGTGCGACAGGGATGTCCTCTGGCTCCCACATTATTTAACATATATTTTGACCGCGTAGTTCGTGAAGCCTTCAATAGCTGTACCGGAGGAATTTCCATTTGGTACAGATATAATGGGAGGCTGATCGACGCCCGGGTGCGATCAAGGGATGGCTCCCTATTGGTCAACCACGTTATGTATGCCGATGATTTGGTAATAGCTGCTCATTCAGAAGAGGAGTTGGAGACGCTGCTGCTGAGACTGGAGCGTGCCACCAAGAGGTGGGGCCTTACCATCAGCCCCACCAAAACTAAGCACCTGCCTGGGTATTTTGTACCATCGGACACTCCACCCCCACAACTCCCAATTGGTGATGGGGCAGTTGTGGAGAGAGTGGAGAGTTTCCCATACCTGGGCAGTGTGCTTATGACCGGCTCCAGTCTATCAGCAGAGGTCTCACTCCGAATCAGTCGAGCGGCAATATCTTTTCATCGGTTGCGTAACGCTGTGTGGAAGCTACCTGGTCTGTCGCTCCGCACGAAGCTTCAGGTCTTCTCGGCCACGGTCATTCCCTCCCTTCTCTACGCTTGCGAGACGTGGACCCCCCTGGTGGAGCATCTTCGCCGGTTGGAAACATTTAGGCTGGCCTGCCTACGATCCATCCTGGGTTTAACCAGGCTGGATTGTGTGAGGAGCTCACAAATCCTTGAAAGATCTGGGCAAAGTCCCATCAGTGAGCTCCTCCGGCAGGCAAGGCTGCGTTGGCTGGGTCATGTAGCCCGCATGCCCAGCCACCGCATGCCTAAACAGCTTTTGTTCGGCCGGATCGAGGGGGCTAGACGGGCGCGGCACGGGCTGGAGAAGAGATGGAGTGATGTGGTACAGGAGGACGTGGAGCTGAGTGGACTTGCCGATGACTGGTACCAGCGGTGTCAAGATCGGCCTCAGTGGAGGAGGCTCGTGAAGGACGCTACTGGGCAGTTGGAGGCAGTCGCCCTCCAACAACAACGGAGGGCGGAGGAGCGACGCTCACAACAACGAGCGGAGCGCCGGGTGGCTAAAGCACAGCAAGTTGGCACAGTAGGGGGCACAGGTGGTGCATCAGCCAGTCATCTCGGTCATCTCGGTCAGTCGACCCGTGGCACCTGCTGGGTCTGCCCCGTGACCTCCTGCCAGCGGGCTTTCGACACTTCACGTGGCCTCAAGGTGCACTTGGCCTGGCACAAGCATCGTGGTGACGTCACCGCCACTTAGTGGCGAATGGCGGTTGTTGTTGTTGTTGTTGTTGAGAGGGTGAGTGAGTGTGTGGGTGAGAGGGTGTGGTGTGAGTGTGTGGGTGAGAGGGTGTGGAGTGAGTGTGTGGGTGAGAGAGTGAGTGAGTGTGTGGGTGAGAGGGTGTGGTGTGAGTGTGTGGGTGAGAGAGTGAGTGAGTGTGTGGGTGAGAGGGTGTGGTGTGAGTGTGTGGGTGAGAGAGTGAGTGTGTGGGGGGGGTGTGAGTGTGTGGGTGAGAGAGTGAGTGAGTGTGTGGGGGGGTGTGGAGTGAGTGTGTGGGTGAGAGGGTGAGTGTGTGGGTGAGAGGGTGTGGTGTGAGTGTGTGGGTGAGAGAGTGAGTGAGTGTGTGGGTGAGAGGGGTGTGGTGTGAGTGTGTGGGTGAGAGAGTGAGTGAGTGTGTGGGTGAGAGGGTGTGGTGTGAGTGTGTGGGTGAGAGAGTGAGTGTGTGGGGGGGGGGGTGTGAGTGTGTGGGTGAGAGAGTGAGTGAGTGTGTGGGGGGGTGTGGAGTAAGTGTGTGGGTGAGAGGGTGAGTGTGTGGGTGAGAGGGTGTGGTGTGAGTGTGTGGGTGAGAGAGTGAGTGAGTGTGTGGGTGAGAGGGTGTGGTGTGAGTGTGTGGGTGAGAGAGTGAGTGAGTGTGTGGGGGGGGTGGAGTGAGTGGTGTGGGTGAGAGGGTGAGTGTGTGGGTGAGAGGGTGTGGTGTGAGTGTGTGGAGCGAGAGAGTGAGTGTGGGGGGGGGTGTGAGTGTGTGGGTGAGAGAGTGAGTGAGTGTGTGGGTGAGAGGGGTGGTGTGAGTGTGTGGGTGAGAGAGTGAGTGAGTGTGTGGGTGAGAGGGTTGTGGTGTGAGTGTGTGGGTGAGAGATGTGAGTGAGTGTGTGGGTGAGAGGGTGTGGAGTGAGTGTGTGAGAGAGTGAGTGAGTGGGGGGGGGGGGGGGGTGGGAGTGTGTGGGTGAGAGAGTGAGTGAGTGTGTGGGGGGGTGTGGAGTGAGTGTGTGGGTGAGAGGGTGAGTGTGTGGGTGAGAGGGTGTGGTGTGAGTGTGTGGGTGAGAGAGTGAGTGAGTGTGTGGGTGAGAGGGTGAGTGAGTGTGTGGGTGAGAGGGTGTGGTGTGAGTGTGTGGGTGAGAGAGTGAGTGAGTGTGTGGGTGAGAGGGTGTGGAGTGAGTGTGTGGGTGAGAGAGTGAGTGAGTGTGTGGGTGAGAGGGTGTGGTGTGAGTGTGTGGGTGAGAGATGTGAGTGTGTGGGTGAGAGGGTGAGTGTGTGGGTGAGAGGGTGTGGAGTGAGTGTGTGGGTGAGAGGGTGAGTGTGTGGGTGAGAGGGTTGTGGTGTGAGTGTGTGGGTGAGAGAGTGAGTGAGTGTGTGGGTGAGAGGGTGTGGTGTGAGTGTGTGGGTGAGAGAGTGAGTGTGTGTGGGGGGGGTGTGAGTGTGTGGGTGAGAGAATGAGTGAGTGTGTGGGGGGGGGGGGGGGTGTAAGTGTGTGGGTGAGAGAGTGAGTGTGTGGGGGGGGGGGTGTGAGTGTGTGGGTGAGAGAGTGAGTGTGTGGGGGGGGGGGGGGTGTAAGTGTGTGGGTGAGAGAGTGAGTGTGTGGGGGGGGGTGGAGTGTGTGGGTGAGAGAGTGAGTGTGTGGGGGGGGGGGGTGTAAGTGTGTGGGTGAGAGAGTGAGTGAGTGTTGTGGGGGGGGGGGGGTGTGAGTGTGTGGGTGAGAGAGTGAGTGAGTGGGGGGGGGGGGGAGTGTGTGGGTGAGAGGGTGAGTGAGTGTGTGGGTGAGAGTGTTCGTGAATGTGTGGAGTTTGTGGCTTTCCTCCGATATCCTACCATAGCAAAAAAAAAAGAACCCACCTTCCCCATATAAAACATCCCGCTGCTGAAAAATCACTCAATGAGGATTACGCAACAGTGGTAGCAAGCCCTGCAGCATCGCTGCAAAATGTTGCCTCGATTATGGAGACCTGAAGCGTTGGCGCTTTCTGACCCGAGTTGGGTGGCGTTGAGGGGTCAAAGGGCAGCAGCCACCCAGGGTCCAAATGGGGCCTCTCAAGCCGGCGGTCTCGAACGAAGAGAGCGCCAATCGACTCGGTTGGGCACCGCGTCTCCGCTCGGCACGACCACGCACCGTGGTCCATAAACCACTGCCCCAAACGAGATTGATCGACGGCAGTGAGTGGAGTGGCGAGATGTTGACGACCTCGCCCCGTATGCCGGAGGTCGTGGGTTCGATCCCGACCCTGATGCTTGCTGCTGTTTATTTAGCGTTTGCGTGACTCTCTCTCATCATCAACATCATCACGGTTGCGAGGAGATGTTAACTACCCCGCCTGGTTTACAGGAGGTCGTGGGTTCGATCCCGACCTTGACGCCTGCTGCTGTATATTTGGAGTTTGCGTGTCTCTCATCATCATCGTCATCACGGTGGCTAGGAGATGTTAACGACCTCGCCTGGTATACAGTAGGTTGTGGGTTCGATCCCGACCCTGACGCCTGCTGCTGTATATTTGGAGTTTGTGTGTCTCTCTCTCATCATCATCACGGTGGCTAGATGTTAACTACCTCGCTTGGTATGCAGGTGGTCGTGGGTTCGATCCCGACCTTGACGCCTGCTGCTGTATATTTGGAGTTTGCGTGTCTCTCTCTCATCATCATCACGGTGGCTAGGAGATGTTAACTACCTCGCCTGGTGTGCAGGAGGTCGTGGGTTCGATCCCGACCCTGATGCCTGCTGCTGTATATTTGGAGTTTGTGTGTCTCTCTCTCTCTCATCATCATCACGGTGGCTAGGAGATGTTAACTACCTCGCCTGGTATACAGGAGGTCGTGGGTTCGATCCCGACCCTGACGCCTGCTGCTGTATATTTGGAGTTTGCGTGTCTCTCTCTCTCTCATCATCATCACGGTGACTCGGAGATGTTAACTACCTCGCCTGGTATACAGGAGGTCGTGGGTTCGATCCCGACCCTGACGCCTGCTGCTGTATATTTGGAGTTTGCGTGTCTCTCTCTCTCTCATCATCATCACGGTGACTCGGAGATGTTAACTACCTCGCCTGGTATACAGGAGGTCGTGGGTTCGATCCCGACCCTGACGCCTGCTGCTGTATATTTGGAGTTTGCATTGACGCAGCCGTAACAAAAATCAGTGAGCACCGCTGAGCTGCCTTTTGCGTTGCAGGTACGAGGAGTTCCATGGCCAGCAGGTGGCAATAGTGGACGGCTACCCGGCGTCCGTGGCCAAAGAGGTGGAATCGTATGCCCACGCTGTGCAGGAGTACTTCAAGAGTCGGCAGTGGGTGAGCAATTCGCTCACCTGATCACTCGCCCACCCACTCGCCCAGTCGCTTGCCCGCCCGCTCGCCCGCCCACTCGCCCACCCACTCACCCGACCACTCACCCACTCGCTCGTCCACCCGCTCGTCCACCCGCTCTTCCACTCGCCCACCCACTCATCCGATCTCTCGCCCAATCGCTCGCCCGCTCGCCCGCCCCGCCCGCCCGCTCGCCCGCTCGCCCACCCGCTCGTCCGCCCGCCCACTCGCCCACCCACTCATCCGACCTCTCGCCCACTCACTCACTCGCCCACCCACTCGCCCACCCACTCCCCCACCCACTCATCCGACCTCTCGCCCACCCACTCGCCCACCCACTCGCTCTTCCACCCGCTCGTCCACCCGCTCGTTCACCCACCCACTCGCCCACCCACTCGCCCACCCACACGCACACCCACTCACCTGACCACTCACCCACTCGCTCTTCCACCCGCTCGTCCACCCGCTCGTCCACTCGCCCGTTCATTCACTCGCTCACACAACCCCTTACCCGCTCGCTCACTCACTCAAAGTCTTGAACACACTTTTGGTGCAAGTGCTGTTAGCGAGCAGCACCTATGAAGGTCGGCACGTCACACGGTAGGGTAGGTGGCTAACACTACGCCCGGCCGCCTTTGTCTCCCCAGTGTCGATGTGTACACACCACACCGGGTACTCATTTGAGGCTGATTCGACCTAAGGGAGGCCTAGGATCAGTTCATTTATTCGCTGTCACTGTTGTTATTGGTCGTCACCGGACACAGAGCTCGGGGCCGCTGGCTTCGTAGCGCGACACGGCAATCGCTGTGCGACCGCTCCCCATTCCCACCACGCTCAAGGCAGCATGGCATAGTTCGGTGTCGCATGCGTCCCCATTGTGGGTTCGAGTTCAAGTTCATGTATTAGGTATAGCCCTGTGAGCCATTCGGCTCTTGAATCGGGTGCAACCGCAACAAACAAAAAAAAACATGAACAAGAAAACATCTTAAAGTGAATATGTGACTAAGTGCAAACAGAAAATCCAAGAAAAGACAGCAAAATATTGCAGAAAAAAAGCACCGTATACACCAACGCTGTGTGCAAAAATCCCAGTGGGATGCAAGTCAAACAACCAACAACAACAACCACAAGACAACTTAGATTAAGGCCATCAGTCTAACTCTGTGCGAGGTTTACTAAGACGAGGGGTGGCACAGCGGTTGCCCAACTTCACTACAAACCCTGTGACCAGTTAGTGGCCGGGGCTGTGAACGGCAGTGGCGATTTACGATTGCAATGTCTATGGGCAGTGTTGAGTCTATGAGTAGTGTTGAGTCTATGAGTAGTGTTGAGTCTATGGGCAGTGTTGAGTCTATGAGTAGTGTTGAGTCTGTGGGTAGTGTTGAGTCTATGGGCAGTGTTGAGTCTATAGGTAGTGTTGAGTCTATGGGTAGTGTTGAGTCTATGGGCAGTGTTGAGTCTATAGGTAGTGTTGAGTCTATGGGTAGTGTTGAGTCTATGGGCAGTGTTGAGTCTGTGGGTAGTGTTGAGTCTATGGGCAGTGTTGAGTCTATGGGCAGTGTTGAGGTCTATGGGCAGTGTTGAGTCTAGGGGCAGTGTTGAGTCTATGGGGCAGTGTTAGTCTATGGGCAGTGTTAGTCTATGGGCAGTGTTGAGTCTATGGGCAGTGTTGAGTCTATGGGCAGTGTTGAGTCTATGGGCAGTGTTAGTCTATGGGCAGTGTTGAGTCTATGGGCAGTGTTAGTCTATGGGCAGTGTTGAGTCTATGGGCAGTGTTGAGTCTATGTGCAGTGTTAGTCTATGGGCAAGTGTTGAGTCTATGGGCAGTGTTAGTCTATGGGCAGTGTTGAGTCTATGGGCAGTGTTAGTCTATGGGCAGTGTTGAGTCTATGGGCAGTGTTAGTCTATGGGCAGTGTTGAGTCTATGGGCAGTGTTGAGTCTATGTGCAGTGTTAGTCTATGGGCAGTGTTGAGTCTATGGGCAGTGTTAGTCTATGGGCAGTGTTGAGTCTATGGGCAGTGTTGAGTCTATGTGCAGTGTTAGTCTATGGGCAGTGTTGAGTCTATGGGCAGTGTTAGTCTATGGGCAGTGTTGAGTCTATGGGCAGTGTTAGTCTATGGGCAGTGTTGAGTCTATGGGCAGTGTTAGTCTATGGGCAGTGTTAGTCTATGGGCAGTGTTGAGTCTATGGGCAGTGTTGAGTCTATGTGCAGTGTTAGTCTATGGGCAGTGTTGAGTCTATGGGCAGTGTTAGTCTATGGGCAGTGTTGAGTCTATGGGCAGTGTTAGTCTATGGGCAGTGTTGAGTCTATGGGCAGTGTTAGTCTATGGGCAGTGTTGAATGAATGAGTGTACGTTGAACTTCTATCGCACCATACGTAGCCAAGCGTGCTAATCGGAGGTGCGGGGGAAGGACAACAAACACTGAACACACACAGTGTCGCCACCACGTACGCTTGTTGAACGTCTACCGCACTGCGCGTAGCCGACCGCGCTGATCCGAGTGAGCACTTTACCTTTTGGCGTCATCTGGTCCAACACCATGTGAGACTAGGCTCTAAGGAAAGCTGTCTCGGGTGTGGACCAATCAACTTCAAGGACAGTGCACATTACCAGAGTTATGTTTTTTGTTTGCATTATGACTGCAGGTATTGTGGTCTATGCAAACATGACTCCTTGTAAAAAAGGTGTCAGTTTTTTTGCCAGATAAAAGGTTAAAAAAACAATTAGCATATTTTGCTACTGGCAAATGAGGTTCCAATGGTGAACACTTTGCATCTCCTGTCTGTCTCCCCCAGCGTGGTGTCGTCACAGCGACAGACGCTACGCCCGAGTCCGGATCGCCGCCAGACCGCGACAAGGGTGAGTGTTTTCCTCCGCAGGCGCTCTCTCTTTCGACGTTCCCCCCCACCCCCCCGCTCGCCACTTCTACCCATCGACTCCGCTCGCAGTCGTTCGGAGGCCACGGGGACATCGGTTTCCTCCCACGATGACGGCGTCGAGTGCCCGGGCGTTGGGCGCGAGCGGGAGACGGCGCTGCCGGGGCTGGTCGCAGTCGGTGCTCTGGCAGTCTAAATTTCGATTTAAAGCTTTCGTGACTGCAGCGATTCATCTTCTTGGTTCTTTCGGTAAAGTCACGTAGAAGGGAAGTAATAAAATTAAAAAAATGAAACATGGTAAAATAATTCTCACGACGTTTCGGCCACAACGCAAGCAGCCGTCCTCAGGTGAAGAACAGGTCTGTCGGAAAGACAGCGTCTGAATGAGACACCACCAAGCTTGGCAGCGTATTTTTAAGCTGGGTTGGAGGGGGGGAAGTGGCGCCTTGACAAAGGAATTTGCATATCAAGAGGAATTTAGCATATTTATGGGAAATGCAGATATGGGATTAGTCACTACTTGTGGAATGCGTAGGAGGTGGGGGGGGGGGGTTTCAAAGTCATATTATGCCGGTGCATTATGCAGTATGCAGGATTAGCAACATCAAAGGGAGGGAGTAGGGTTAGCAGTAATAGAGGGAAGGAATTTTAATAGTAAGGAGACTTCCAACAGGCGTCGAAGTCGGTCAACCCATTAGCGCGATGCTGGATCTGTCCCGAGACCTCCTGTCGGCAGCGAGCCTTCGACACTTCTCGTGGTAGCCTCAAAGTGCACCTGGCCTGGCACAGGCGCCGTGGGGACGTCACCGCCGCTTTGTGGCGAATGGCGATTGTTGTTATTGTGTGTACGTGGTGGTGCGTCTGACAGTCATCTTAGTCAACCCATGGCACCTGCTGGGTCTGTCCCGTGACCTCTGCTCAGCGAGCCTTCGACACTTCACGTGGCCTCAAAGTGCACCTGGCCTGGCACAGGCGCCACCGCCGCTTTGTGGCGAATGGCGGCCGCTGTTGTTGTTGTTGGTGCAGTCGTGTGGCGGTCAGCGCCCCTCCCGCCCGCCCGCCCGACAAAGTCGGCGTGCCGAGTTCGATCCCCCGCTCATGGGCAACACCAGTGACGACTATCAATCTGAACCGGTCCTGGGCCACCCACTAGGTCGACTCAGCCTCACATGAGTACCTGGTGTGATGTGCAAACATCGCCACTGGGGAGACAAAGGCGGCCGGGCGCGGCGCTCCAGACCAACCCATGCGCTACGTGTACAATTGCCGCGCCTTCACAGGTGCTGCTCACAGCTTCTGCTCCGACATAAAAACTCTTGAGGCTATCCGGGGCATCTTCCTCCCTTGTATCGTCACAGGCTCGAGTCTGGGACGCCGAGACCCTTGGCACGACGACAACGACGACGTCTTCCTGACGGAGACGCGAGAGCGGCAGCAGCACGAGGAGGTGGACGTGGAGGAGGTGGACGCGGAGGAGGTGGAGGGTCTGGAGGTCGCCAAGAAGCTGCCCTGCTACCTGGAGCACACGGAGCTGCGGGAAGAGCTGCTCGGGGTCGTCACGGAGATGTACGACGTCGCGCGCCACACGCGTGTGTGTGTGTGTGCGCGTGTCAGCAGTGTGTGTGTGTGTGCAGTAGTGTGTGTGTGTCAGCAGTGTGTGTGTGTGCAGTGTGTGTCAACAGTGTGTGTACGCATGTGTGTGTCAGCAGTGTGTGTGTGTGCGCGCGTACGTGTGTCAGCAGTGTGTGTGTCAGCAGTGTGTGTGTGGCAGCAGTGTGTGTGTGCAGTGTGTTGCAGCAGTGTGTTACAGCAGTGTGTTGCAGCAGTGTGTGTGTCTGTGTCAGCAGTGTGTGTGTATCAGCATTGTGTGTGGCAGCAGTGTGTGTGTGGCAGCAGTGTGTGTGTGTCAGCAGTGTGTGTATGTGCAGTGTGTGGCAGCAGTGTGTGTGTACGCGTGTGTGTGGCAGCAGTGTGTGTATGTGTGCAGTAGTGTGTGTGTGTGTGGCAGCAGTGTGTGTGTGTGCAGTAGTGTGTGTGTGTGCGTGGCAGCAGTGTGTGTGTGTGTGGCAGCAGTGTGTGTGTGTGCGGTGTGTGGCAGCAGTGTGTGTGTGTATGCAGTGCGTGGCAGCAGTGTGTGTGTGTGCAGTAGTGTGTGTGTGTGCGTGGCAGCAGTGTGTGTGTGTGTGGCAGCAGTGTGTGTGTGTGCGGTGTGTGGCAGCAGTGTGTGTGTGTGTGCGGTGTGTGGCAGCAGTGTGTGTGTGTGCAGTAGTGTGTGTGTGTGCGTGGCAGCAGTGTGTGTGTGTGTGGCAGCAGTGTGTGTGTGTGCGGTGTGTGGCAGCAGTGTGTGTGTGTGTGCGGTGCGTGGCAGCAGTGTGTGTGTGTGCAGTAGTGTGTGTGTGTGCGTGGCAGCAGTGTGTGTGTGCAGTGTGTGGCAGCAGTGTGTGTGTGTGCGGTGTGTGGCAGCAGTGTGTGTGTGTGTGCAGTGCGTGGCAGCAGTGTGTGTGTGTGCAGTGTGTGGCAGTTGGAGGCTCAGCTGCTGAACCTGGAGTGTGCCCCACCTAAACTTAACACCTGCCTCGGTATTTTGTGCCACCAAACACTCCACCCCCTCAGCTCCCCATTGGTGATGGAGCAGTTATGGAGAGAGTGGAGAGTTTTAAATACCTGGACAGTGTGCTTATGACCGGCTCCGGTTTGACGGCAGAGGTCTCACTCCGAATCAGTCGGGCGGCATTATCTTTTCATCGGATGCGCAATGCTATGTGGAAGCTACCTGGTCTGTCGCTCCGCACGAAGCTTCGGGTCTTCTCGGCCACAGTCATGCCTTCCCTTCTCTACGCTTGTGAAACATGGACCCCTCTAATGGAACATCTGCTCCGGGTAGAAACATTCAGGCTGGCCTGCCTACGATCCATCCTGGGTTTAACCAGGCTGGATTGTGTGAGGAGCTCACAAATCCTTGAAAGATCTGGACAAAGTCCCATCGGTGAGCTCCTCCGGCAGACAAGGCTACGCTGGCTGGGTCATGTAGCCCGCATGCCCAGCCACTGCATGCTTCTGTTTGGCCGCATAAAGGGGGCAAAACGGGCACGCCGCGGGTTGGAGAAGATATTGACTGGTGCGGTACGGAAGGACGTGGAGCTGAGTGGAATTGCCGATGATACCAGCGGTGTCAGGATCAGCCGCTATTCAGGAGGCTCATGAAGGACGCTACTGCTACTGGGCAGTTGGAGGCAGTCGCCCTCCAACAACAACGGGGCAGAGGAGCGACGCTCACAACGAGCGGAGCGCCGTAGCAGGCACAGGTGGTGCATCGGCCACTCATCTCAGTCAGTCGACCCGTGGCACCTGCTGGGTCTGTCCCGTGACCTCTTGCCAGCGGGCGTTTGAAACTTCACATGGTGTGATGTGGTACAGGAGGATGTGGAGCTGAGTAGACTGGTACCAGCGGTGTCAAGATCGGCCTCTGTGGAGGAGGCTCGTGAAGGACGCTACTGGGCAGTTGGAGGAAGTCACCCTCCAACAACAATGGAGGGTGGAGGAGCGATGCTCACAACAACGAGTGGAGCGCCGGGTAGCTAAAGCACAGTAGGGGGCACAGGTGGTGCATTAGCCAGTCATCTCAGTCAGTCGACCCGTGGCACCTGGGTCTACCCCGTGACCTCCTGCCACTTCACGTGGCCTCAAGGTGCACATGGCCTGGCACAAGCGCCGTGGTAACGTCACGGCCACTTCGTGGCGAACGGCGGTTGTTGTTGTTGTGGTAGCAGTGCGGGGAGCGGTGGCGCAGTGGTTAGCGTGCAGCGCTATGAACCCGGCGACACGAGTTCGATTCCTACTCACGGCCAACACCAGTGACGATTATCTGAACCGGTCCTGGGCTTCCCCTAGGTCGACTCAGCCTCAAATGACTACCTGGGGAGACAAAGGCGGCCGGTGCCCAGTGCTGGCCACCCACCCCCGTCGTGCACCTTCCTGACCGTAATAGGTGCTCGCTAACAGCACTTGCTCCAGCTGCTTGTTAAGAGGCTACGAGGGGGATCTTTGTCTTTGGGTTCACTCCGCGTGCATGTAAACACACACACACACAGTGCCTCATTCTCTGTGTAAACCTCTCTCAGATTTGATTTGCCTCTCATTAAGCCTCTGCTCGAATGCCCTCCCCCCCCCGCCGCTCCCTCCTCCCCTCCCTCCCCCCCCATTCATTACACCTTAATTGGAGGCTGAGTGTGGACGCGAGACAGCGGTGGTAAATTCATTCACGACGTCCCCCCCCACCACCTCCCCACTCCATCTCTCCTCTCACTCTCTCTCCCTGGCTACCCACAATTCCTACCGTCAGCCAGGGGGCCGTAACTCTCGCTCACATCGGTGAGGGCCCCCCCCCCCCCCGCCCACCCGCCTCCCCCGCCGACCCCCCCACCCCCAAATTATCGGAGCGAAAGCTCAATTAATTTCGGCCTTCATTAGTGTTTACACAATATACAACCACGAATTTGGGGAGCTTGGGGACAGGTAAATAGCGGTTTTCCGTGCCGTGGCAGGCCTGGTAATGATCCTGCAAGTGTGTTCCAAAGCGGGTCGTACACTCAGGCTGCAAACGATACTTCAGTTTAAAACGCAGTGGCAGGATTTCGCGACCGATATTATGCATAATGGAGATTGTTGTTATTTTTTTGTTGGCGGTGGGGGGGGGGCGGTTAGGTCACGTCAGTATATTTTTTTAAGACCGAAAGATGTTGTTTTGGGTCAGGTCGCTTAAATATATCAATGTGTCATTAAACCCGCCCACCTCCCGACACGGCCAATTAGTAAGGTTTGTCACGTAAACAGAACGTGGGCAATTCGTCACTAGTACAGCACTAACCGGTGCTTCATCAGGCTGTTACCTGATGAAGCTGGTTGTAATTACTGGCGAAACGTTGTACTCAGATTGTGAATCTTCTTGGTTCTTTCGGTAAAGTCACGTAGAATGGAAATAATAAAATAATAAAAATAAACATAACAAAACAATTCTCACGACGTTTCGGCCACAACGCAAGCTTGCGTTGTGGCCGAAACATCGCAAAAATTGTTTTTATTATTTTATTATTTCCATTCTACGTGACTTTACCGAAAGAACCAAGAAGATGAATCCCTGCAGTCACGAAAGCTTTAAATCCAGATTGTGAATGTTGTGGCTTGGCTCTCCGACACAATCCGTCACTAGTACAGCACTAACCGCTTGTGTGTTGGAGAGCCAAGCCAAAACATCTACAATCTGAGTACGACCTTTTGCCAGAACATGGCAATTCGTTAGGAACGAAACAGGAGGATATTTCCACAACTCTGGCTGTCGCCTGACGAGACTGGTTGTAATTACGGGTGGAAATGTCGTACTCCAACTGTAAATGTTGCAGTGGGTTTACTCTCCAACACACAACCGGTTATAGTGCTGAACTAGTAACTGATTGCCACGTTTTGTGTACGTGACACAAACCCTTACCGATTGGCTGTGTCGGGTGGCCGTGGCGGGTTTATCGACGCATTTATATTTTACGTGATCTAACCCCCAAAAAAAACTCTTATTATGAATAATATTTGTCGCGAAAGCACCTACGACTGCTACGTGTTAAACAGATGAATTGTGACTGACCAACTTAAAATGTTTTTATTTATTGTAATTCATTTTATTAATGCTTGTTAGCCCAGGAAAGTTTTACCCAAGTCTCAAGACTCTTCCTCTCTCTGGAGGGTCCTGCCAATTGGTGACCGGGCTGAAACCATCAGCTCACTTCGCTTTTGAGAACCCGGTTCAGTCACGGCTGGCTGCCTAGATTTGGAATTCATGGCACTCAGGAGTGCCGACCGAAAGTCTCTGATACAACGTGAGCTCTTCGAGATTTTAAGTTTTCGTGACTGCAAGGATCCATCCTCGGTTCGTTCGGTAAAGTCACGTAGGTGAAAATAATAAGAAAAGAAAAGTAATACAAATAAAAATAAAATAAAAATGAAAATAACTAAATTAAATCTCGACGTTTCGGAAGCAACACAAGCCTCCATCATCAGGTAGGACAGCCACAGCAAGAAATAATTTGTAAATTATTTTGTAAATTATTTCTTGCTGTGGCTGTCCTACCTGATGACAGAGGCTTGTGTTGCTTCCGAAACGTGATTTAATTTAGTTATTTTCATAAAATGTTTTATTTTATTTTTATTTTCACCTACGTGAATTTACCTAACGTGAGCTCTGTGAAGCACAAACAAAACGAATATCCCCCGTGTAGCCTGAACAGACTGTTGGGGCAGGTGCTGTTAGCAAGTAGCACCTATGAAGGCCGGAACGGCACACGAGGGGGTGGGTTGCCAATACCACGCCCGGCCGCCTTTGTCTCCCTCGTGGCAATGTTTTACACACCGCACCAGGTACTCATTTGAGGCTGAGTCGACCTAGGGGAGGTCCGTGACCAGTTCAGATAATCACCACCGATGTTGGCCGTGAGCGGGAATCGAATTCGGGTCACCGGCTTGGTAGCGCAGCGTAGCGCTAACCGCTACACCACCGCTCCCCACCTCTGAACCACCCGCCCGCACGCACACACACACACGATGACATTTGAGAGAACAAGTTGGCATATATATATGGCTTACGCCTTAGCATTATATCCTAAATATCAGAGTGCTTTCAGAGCCAGACATTCTGAAATTGTGCCTCCGACAACCGACGTCTATCACCGAGGCCTTTGTGTCCCGCGATGTCCCTGCCCCCCCCCCCCCACCCCTCGCTTTCTCATCTCGGAAAAAGAAAAGGGGGGAGGAGGGCCCCCCCCCCCGTGGCGTTACGTCTTTCACATTTTGATTTGCAGGTCAGCGTTTCGTCTCCCGCGCGGTTCCGACTCCGCGCCGAGTGGATTAACTTCTGCCCCTCTGTGGCTCCTAACCTGCTCAGAATAATGACAAAGGCGATAACGCGTCCAGTGGGATGGCGCGAGACGGAGTGATACGCACGATACTGTGGGAGACGGAGTGATATGAATGATACGATGGCGCTAACCGCTACACTACCGCTCCCCACACACACGCACACACACACGCGCACACACGCACACACACACACGCACACACACACGCGCACACACACATACGCGCACACAAACACGCGCACACACGCACACACGCACACACACACACACGCAACACACACACAAACACGAGCACACACACACATGCGCACGCACACACACACACGCACACACACGCACACACAAACGCACACACACACGCGTACACACACGCACACACACACGCACACACACACGCACACACACGCACACACGTGCACACACATACACACGCACACACAAACACGTGCACACGTGCACACACACGCGCATACGCACACACACACGTGCACACACACACGCGTACGCACACACACACGCACACGCGCACACACGCACACACACACATACACGCACATGCACACGCGCACACACACACGTACACGCACATGCACACGCGCACACACACACGCACACACACACACGCACACACGCGCACACACGTGCAGGCTGGGCTGGGAGTTTGGCGAGCACGCGATCCTGTGGCGCTCCTCCGCGGAGGAGCGAGCGCGCGCCGTCGCCGAGGCGCAGAAGGAAGAGCTGCAGGCGGAGCTGCAGCTGCGGCTGCATCTGCACGGGCCCCGAGCCTCCCGCGTGCGGCGCGACGTGAAGCAGGCGCGCGCCGGTTAGTGCCGCACCACGCACCCCCCACACCCGGTCGGTGTGCAGCAGTAAAGATGGTCTACGTCACTGCATCACCCACCCCCCCACATTCAACGTGCAGCAGTAGGGACGGTCTACATCACTATATCACCCCCCCCCCCCCAGTCAAAGTAAAGCAGTAGGGACGGTCTACGTCACTACATCACCCCCCCCCTCCCACCCAGTCAATGTGCAGCAGTAGGGACGGTCTACATCACTACATCACCCCCCCTACGTCACTACATCACCCCCCCTCCCACCCAGTCAATGTGCAGCAGTAGGGACGGTCTACGTCACTGCATCACCCACCCCCCCCCCCCCCCAGTCAACGTGCAGCAGTAGGGACGGTCTACTTCACTACATCACCCCCCCCCCCATAGTCAAGTGCAGCAGTAAGGACGGTCTACGTCACTGCATCACCCCCCCCCCCCCCCACCCAGTCAACGTGCAGCAGTAGGGACGGTCTACGTCACTACATCACCCCCCCCCCCCATAGTCAAGTGCAGCAGTAGGGACGGTCTACGTCACTGCATAACCCCCCCCCCCCACCCAGTCAATGTGCAGCAGTAGGGACGGTCTACGTCACTACATCACCCCCCCCCCCATAGTCAAGTGCAGCAGTAGGGACGGTCTACGTCACTGCATCACCCCCCCCACCCAGTCAACGTGCAGCAGTAGGGACGGTCTACGTCACTGCATCACCCCCCCCCCCCATAGTCAAGTGCAGCAGTAGGGACGGTCTACGTCACTGCATCACTCCCCCCCCCCTCCCCAGTCAATGTGATGCAGTAGGGAGGGTCTACGTCACTGCAACAACCCCCCTTCCCACCCAGTCAACTTGCAGTAGTAGGGACGGTCTACGTCACTGCATCCCCCCCCCCCCCACAGTCAATGTGCAGCAGTAGGGACGGTCTATGTCACTGCATCACCCCCCCCCCCCACAGTCAATGTGCAGCAGTAGAGACGGTCTACGTCACTGCATCACCCCCCCCCCCCCCCACCCAGTCAATGTGCAGCAGTAGGGACAGTCTACGTCACTGCATCACCCCCCCTCCCACCCAGTCAACGTGCAGCAGTAGGGATGGTCTACGTCACTGCATCGCCCCCACCCCCCAGTCAATGTGCAGCAGTAGAGACGGTCTACGTCACTACATCACCCCCCCCCCCCCACCCACGAAAATCTGAAAATCAACAAAGCATCACCGCGTCACCTCCATGCGTTGTTGTGCGGTGGATCATGCTCCTAGACCCGGCGCTTCACTGACCCCCCACCCCCCCACCCCTCCACCCCCCCACCCCCCCACCCACCCCCCCACCGCCACAGCTCGGGTACGGAAGTGGAAAAAAAAACGAGACGGAGTTTGATTTCTTTCGTTCGTTGTTGCGCGTGGTGCGTTCCGTGCCTGCCCAGCGGAGCTGAGGGGGCACGGGGAGGAGATGGAGCGGCACTGCGCGTCGGTGGGGCGAGCGCTGGATGGTCTGCGCGATGGCGTGGCCCTGCTCGACGCTCGGCATGACGAGCTGGCGCGCCAGTTCCAGGCCAGGGTCAACGGCCACGACGAAGGATTCGCGCGCGCCAGCAAACCCGACAGGTTGGCCCGTTCGTGCGGACGCGGCGGTGTGTGTGCGTGTGCCCGCGTGTGTGTGTGGGGGGCAAACGCTGTCGTGGACAGTTCTGTGGGGGGGAGGGCCAATTCCGATTTGCCTCTCCCCTCATGGCGTCTGTGACCACCACAGTGGCTAAACGGGGGCTCTGGACCGGTGCGAGGGGCTGGTAACCCCTCCACCTTTCAATAAATGACCACTAAACCACGACTGAAATATCTAACTAATAAGCTTGTGCCGGAGGCCCCGGAGGAACAGGCGTCTATAACGTCTCCTGGCCAATCCCCATTTGGCGGAGCCAGGAGATTGAATTTTTACACTTGGGGCTCCTCCAGAAACAACGAAAAGCCACTACGGATGGCCACGTGGAATGTTCGAACGCTCACTGCTGGTGGAAAGGCTGCCACTCCTCTGTCGGGAGCTGGACCGGTACCGCCTGGATCTCTGTGGCATTTAGGAGGTCCGGTGGACCGGCTCTGGCTCCTGCCACCATGAGGGGTGGACAGTCCTCTACTCGGGGCAGGAGACTGCCAAACAACAGGGAGTGGCTCTTCTTCTGAACAAAAGAATAAAGGGGGTGTGGGAGCGTGGCGGTTTTGTGTGGGAAGCTGTAAGCCCCAGGCTATTTTGGGCTCGCCTTCCCATCAACCGGAGGCGAGGAGTGGTGGTCGTGGTTACTTATGCCCCCACCGAAGACGAACATCCGTGGAGGGATGTAGGCAAGGCCGATGAGTCAGATGCCTTTCATGACCTCCTGTCACAGGTACTAGCTAAAGTGGCCCCTCGGGATAGAGTCATCTTGTTGGGCGACTTCAATGCCCGAGTTGGTCATGATGCTGTAACCTGGTCTGGAGTGATTGGAAAGCATGGGCCAGATCAGCTCAATAACAACGGTAGGAGGCTGCTAGATTTTTGTGCAGCCCATGGGCTTGTAATTACCAACACGCTGTTCCGTCATCGGCACATCCACACAACATCATGGATGCATGCCGGGTCCAAGCAAGAATATCTGCTGGACTACATAGTGACGGAACAGCGGATGCGTGCTCATGTCCTTGACACCAGGACCTACCATGGAGCTGATCTGCCCACTGACCATTGACTTGTCATCTGTAAGATGCGCCTGCTATTCTTCCACTCCCTGTGGTTAGTGTACACCCAGGACCCCATTCAAACCCATAGTGGCCTGGTCTCAGCTAGCTGATGAAAGTTGCAAGCGAGAATTTTATCGTCGCTTGCGGCTGGGGTTGGCATCGTCCCTAACTCCTGTTGTTGGGTGGGAAATGGGTGAGGAGCGACCAAGTTTGATTCCCGCTCACGGCCAACACCAGTAACGAACATTGGAACTGGTCCTGGGCCTCAAATGAGTACCTTGTGCGGTGTGTAAACATCACCACGTGGGAGACAAAGGCGGCTGGGGCGTGGTGCTGGGCACCCACCCCCTCGTGTGCCGTGCCGGCCTTCATAGGTGCTCGCTAACCGCACTTGCCCCAACAGTCTGTAAAGGCTATCCCCACTCACTCAACCTGTTACTGACCCAGTCACCCACCCACTCAATCACCCACTCACCACCCACTCAATCACCCACTCCCCACCCACTCAATCACCCACTCACCCACCCACTCATCCACCCACTCATCCACCATTCACCGATCCACTCACCGACCCACTCACCCACCCACTCACCCACCCACTCACCAATCCACTCACCCACCCACTCAATCACCCACTCACCCACCCACTCAATCACCCACTCACCCACCCACTCATCCACCCATTCACCGATCCACTCACCGACCCACTCACCCCACCCACTCATCCACCCACTCACCGATCCAATCACCGACCCACTCACTGACCCACTCACCCACCCACTCACCCACCCACTCACCGACCCACCCACTGACATCACGAGGGCCCCCCTCAATCTCCCCCCCCCCGCCCCGCACAGGCTGCAGAAGCTGAACGAGGCCCTGAAGGGAGACACGGAGGCGCACACGGAGGCCGTGCGCTCCTCCCTGCGCAAGTTTCGCAAGCAGCTCGAGGACACGGTGGCTCAACTGCGCGGATCCAACGCCAAGTTCATGCGCTCCTTCAAGTAGGTGCTGCTGCTCGTGGCCGGGAGACTGACGATACGGGCGCCACGGTGGCCAGGAGATGTTAACTGCCTCTCTTTGTATACAGGAGGTCGTGGGTTCCATCCCGTCCCTGACGCCTGCTGCTGTATATTTGGAATTTGTGTGTATCTCTCTCCCCGCGGGACGTGCGTCGTTGTGACGTGAAACGCTCGCTGTTATAACGCGAAATGTGCATCGTTATAATGCAGAACTATGTGTGCGTGTGTGCGTGTGTGTGCGTGTGTGTGTGCGTGTGCGTGCGTGTGTGCGTGTGTGCGTGTGTGCGTATGTGTGTGTGTGCGTGTGTGTGTGCGTGTGTGTGCGTGTGTGTGCGTGTGCGTGTGTGTGCGCGTGTGTGTGTGTGTGCGTGCGCGCTCGTCCCTTCCAGGTTGTTTTCGGAGGGTGGCAACTTCTCCCCGGAGGAGATCGAGGCGTTCCGCAAGCGGCTGGAGAAGCTGTCGAGGCAAATCGACGCGGCCGAGGGGCAGAGCGCAGCAAACCTGGAGGGCCTCGGCTCCAAGCGCATGGAGCAGGTGAAGCCGCGGTGACGACGATGACGACGACGACGACGATAAAATAATAATGATGATGATGATGATTATTACTACTGTAATGTGAGGATATATCCGGCTCAATGACGTATCACAACTCGTCATGGTGATTGGCTCTGCCGGTCTTGGTTTATAGCCAATGGGGGGAAGCCTAGGGGTGTGGCCCTGACGTAATGGGAAGGTGACAGCTGTAAAGATTGGTTCTGCTGGCTTTGGCCACAGCCAATGGGGAGACGAGTCAGGGGCGTGGCCCTGACGTCATGGGAAGGTGACAGCTGCAAGTAGGGGATTGGTTCTGCTGGCTTTGGCCACAGCCAATGGGGAGACGAGTCAGGGCCGTGGCCCTGACGTCATGGGAAGGTGACAGCTGTAAGGATTGGTTCTGCTGGCTTTGGCCACAGCCAATGGGGAGACGAGTCAGGGGCGTGGCCCTGACGTCATGGGAATGTGACAGCTGCAAGTAGATGATTGGTTCTGCTGGCTTTGGCCACAGCCAATGGGGAGACGAGTCAGGGGCGTGGCCCTGACGTCATGGGAAGGTGACAGCTGCAAGTAGATGATTGGTTCTGCTGGCTTTAGCCACAGCCAATGGGGAGACGAGTCAGGGGCGTGGTCCCGGCAGCTTACGAGGGGGCCTGGAATATTCCATGGAGGCTAACCAGGATTGGTGAAAACGTACCATGTGACCCGGGTATTCAATAGGGGTGGAGACGAACGACACGTGGTCAGTAGGGGATTGGTTCTGCTGGCTTTAGCCACAGCCAATGGGGAGACGAGTTAGGGGCGTGGTCCCGGCAGCTTACGAGGGAGCCTGGAATATTCCATGGAGGCAAACCAGGATTGGTGAAAACGTACCACGTGACCCGGGTATTAAATAGGGGTGGAGACGAACGACACGTGGTCAGAACGGGAACGAACAGAGGAAGGGGGCCACGTGGGAGCGGGGTTCCGGGTTGCCACGTGGTGGTGTGTGTCTCTCTCTCTCTGTCCCCCTCACGCTGCCTATCAGCATCGTGAAGGAAAAGCTGTAATACAAGTTGAACAAAGGACGGATTCCAGAAGTCGCCTCAACGAGCTTTATTACACTACTACAAGGATAATATACTTGCAACTTGCAACGGTACCCGCTCGCTCGTGAAGACAGAGAGAGAGGCGGGGGTGAGCGAAATTAACCCGCCGCCCCCTGCCCTCTTCCAAGTTCTGCGGTCCTCTCCATGTCAAGGTGTTATTGCTCAACGGATGACTGGTGACGGATGACAGCCACGATAATGACGATCATCGTGATGATGACGATCAATCGTGATGACGACGACGATAATGGTGATGATGATTATTACGACGATAATGATTTCTGTAATTTGCGTTTAGTTCGTTGTCTTTAGCTCCCCCCTTGCAACTCCGGTTAGCACGGATAGCTGCGTATGGTGCAAAAGAGGTTCAACATACATACTGCACATAGATGAACACTACCCATAGACTCAACACTGCCCATAGACTCAACACTGCCCATAGACTCAACACTACCCATAGACTAACACTGCCCATAGACTCAACACTGCCCATAGACTCAACACTGCCCATAGACTCAACACTGCCCATAGACTCAACACTGCCCACAGACTCAACACTGCCCATAGACTCAACACTACCCATAGATTAACACATCCCATAGACTCAACGCTGCCCATAGACGCAACACTGCCCATAGACTCAACACTGCCCATAGACTCAACACTGCCCATAGACTCAACACTGCCCATAGACTCAACACTGCACCATAGACTCAACACTACCCATAGACTCAACACTGCCCATAGACTCAACACTGCCCATAGACTCAACACTGCCCATAGACTCAACACTGCACCAAAGACTCAACACTGCCAATAGACTCAACACTGCCCATAGACTCAACACTGCCCATAGACTCAACACTGCCCATAGACTCAACACTGCCCATAGACTCAACACTACCCATAGACTCAACACTGCCCATAGACTCAGCACTACCCATAGACTCAACACTACCCATAGACTCAACACTACCCATAGACTCAACACTGCCCATAGACTCAACACTGCCCATAGACTCAACACTACCCATAGATTAACACATCCCATAGACTCAACACTGCCCATAGACTCAACACTGCACCTCTGATTTGCACGGTTGGCTACGCACGGTACGAAAGAAGTTCAACGTGCATACGTGCTCATTCAGGAAGCGATCGTAGTGCCCAGTACAACGATCGCAATTCCAGAACGAATCGACGATTTTTACGAGCAGCAGCCCAGCCCCTCGGATCTTGAGGGGCCCCCCCACCACCACAGCCCCCCCCCCCCACCACAGCCCCCCACCACAGCCCCCACACCCCCCGCACTCACCCAGGGCTTTGATTTATAATGGTCGAGATGCACGTTTGTAGCACTGTGATAAATCCGATCGGTAATTTTGGTAATTTAAGACATTGGTTCGCTCTGCGTGTGTGTGTGTGCGCGCGTGCCCTACTTAGCGGCTTTAAGGCGGCAGGTCGACGCGGTGGTGACACTTGCGCCTCGCAGCAAGAAGAGTGTGGGTTCGATTCCCGACTCGGAGCGCATCTCTCTCTCTCTGTGTGTGTGTGGAGGTTTGCGTGTTTTGTCGCTCTCCCCGCCGCGGTTCTGCGTGGGTTTCCTCCGTGTTCTCCGGCTCCCTTCCCGTCGATAAAAACAAAACAACAACAACAACCGCCATTCGCCACTACGTGTAGCGGTGACATCACCACGGCGCTTGTGCCAGGCTAGGTGCACTTTCATGGCACGTGAAGTGTCGAACGCCCGCTGGCAGGAGGTCACGGGACAGACCCAGCAGGTGCCGTGGGTTGACCGACTGAGATGACTGGTCGATGTACCACCACCTGTGTTTCCCGCTGTGTCAAAACACACACACACAGCGGAAACTGGCATCAGCCAAAACCATCCCCTCTGTGCGGGCATTTGAAACTAATAGCTGCACATTGCTCAATAGCGATCACGCAGCAACAGCAGCAGCATCGCGAATTCCTGGGAGGTGCAAACTGAAAAAATTAACCCGTAAAAACAAAGTTTTTCACTATAAATCCTTTATATGCGTGGCATCGGTTTTATTTTATTATTCATTTCTGTTTTTCTTGAGTAACAGTTTCATTTTTATCACATTGGTATTTTAAATTAAATATAAGGAAAGTCGTATATAAGGATTATAAGGTTTTCAGTTTTTGTATGATTGTTTATATTGTACATTTTTGTTGTTTTCTTGAATAACTTTCTGTGTTTAGGAAAAATATATGATTGTGTTAGTGACATTTTTTTTTCCTAAAAAGTGGAAAATTTTGGAAAAAAATTTTCACGAAAATAAATTGTCACGCACAACGAGTCTGTGTGCAAAATGTCAGCTCGATTGGATCACGGGAAGTGGGTTAAAAAACGACCGAAAGATTTGCACGGTCGTAAGCGCGCAAGCAAGCAAGCAAGTGAACTTAAAATAAAGGATTTAAATAGAGACTTGAGAATCAGTGAGGCTCTCCTGAGTAAAAAAAATGTGGAATAATAAAAATGAAATCTATAAATAATCTAGCTTTTATTTTACCAGATTAAGGTCCACTGCGCTGCATAGCTCTTTTTCAGAAGCGACTTGGCCACAAATTATAGCCCAACGAAATGGCTCATCATCATCATCACGTGGAATTGTATAGCAGCCAAATACTTTAACACGTAGCAGGCTTTCGCGACCAATATTATTCATAATGAAGGCGTTTGGGTCAGATCGCGTTATTTATAAATGTGTCGTAACCCTCCACCACCCGACACGGCCAAACAGTAAAAAATGTGTCACGTTGACAAAAGACAAAATAGTTCACTACTTTAGCCCACCGGTGTGTTGAAGAGTGAATCCACAACATTTACAATTTTTGAGCACGACGTTTCGCTGGTAATTACATCCAGTTCATAATATAGGTTTTTGGGTCAGATCGCGTTATTTATAAATGTATCGTAACCCTCCACCACCCGACACGGCCAAACAGTAAAAAATGTGTCACGTTTTTCAAAGGACAAATTAATTCACTTCTTTAGCCCACCGGTGTGCTGAAGAGAGAATCAACAGCATTTTAAAATGTGAGTAGTGCGACGTTTCGCTGGTAATTACAATCGGCTTCATCGGGCAAGAATGGTGAAGCTCTCCTGTTGCTTCCGGTCTTAAATAGAGCAGCAGCATCAGGGTGACGTCATCATTCAATTAAATTCAATCTGGTGCAGTGATTCGAGGCAAGGTGGGTATTGTAATTATATAGATTGGTAATCATTCAATTGTTATTCATTGGTATTTGTTTCCCTTATAAGGAATTGTAATTGTATTTATTTGATAATACGCTTCCAAATACTCTAAAGCGCGTGTCGTTGATTCTAAATGTGGAGGGCAAAAACCGAACGACCCTAAGACGAATCCACGCGACCACAGGGGAGAGAGAGACACGCACAGACTCCAAATATACTGTAATGGGCATCCCCTGTTACAAATGATCGTGCAACGAAGTGGCTTATCATCACGTGAAAATTTATAGCCGCCAAATACTCTTTAGACGCGTGCCGTTGATTCTAAATGTGAGACAAATCCACGCGACCACAGGGGAGAGTGAGAGATACGCAGACTCCAAATATACTGTAATGGGCATACACTATTCACTGTAGCCATGATTTATGTCTCGCCTTGTGGGATATCTCCGCAGACCGCCGCGATTGTGGGGAAATTTAAGGTCAAGTTCAGGGTCATGATGTCCGACCTGGTGATCCTGGAGAAGATTCAACGCGGTCTCACCGGCGCGCAAGTCAGAATCAAAACCGAGGTGAGCCGAATGCCAACTCAACCGCCGTCATGATCACCACCATCGTTACCATCGTTACCATCATCACCACCACCACCACGATGATCACCACCATTGTTACCATCATCACCACCAGCAGCACCGCCACCATGATCACCGCTATCACGACCTTCTTCATCAACGTCATGATCACCACCACCACCACCACGATGATCACCACCATCACTACCATCATCACCACCAGCACCACAGCCACCATGATCACCGCTATCACTACCATCATCATCATCATCATCACCACTACTCCCACCATCCCGCGATCACCGCCACCACCACCACCACCACGATGATCACCACCATCACTACCATCATCACCACGAGCACCACAGCCACCATGATCACCACTATCACTACCATCATCATCACCACTACTCCCACCACCACGATCGCTACCGCCACGACCATCATCACCACCATCCCCCGCGATCACCGCCACCACCACCACCACGATGATTACCACCATCACTACCATCATCATCACCACCGTCACCACCGCCACCACCACCACCACCACCACAATCACCACCGTCATCACCTCCGCTGCCACAATCACAACTCGCGACACCGAAGCGGCGTGGTGTCGCGGGTTCACGCCGTCATTATTTACACTGCGGGGAGTCAAGGTGCGTTCATCTGCAATCGCCGTGGCACAAAGCAAGCTCGGCCTCCAATTAAGGTGTAATGAATGGGGGGGAGGGAGGGGAGGAGGGAGCGGTGGGGGGGGGGGAGGGCATTCGAGCAGAGGCTTAATGAGAGGCAAATCAAATCTGAGAGAGGTTTACACAGAGAATGAGGCACTGTGTGTGTGTGTTTACATGCACGCGGAGTGAACCCAAAGACAAAGATCCCCCTCGTAGCCTCTTAACAAGCAGCTGGAGCAAGTGCTGTTAGCGAGCACCTATTACGGTCAGGAAGGTGCACGACGGGGGTGGGTGGCCAGCACTGGGCACCGGCCGCCTTTGTCTCCCCAGGTAGTCATTTGAGGCTGAGTCGACCTAGGGGAAGCCCAGGACCGGTTCAGATAATCGTCACTGGTGTTAGCCGTGAGTAGGAATCGAACTCGGACGGGGAGGGGGGCGGGTGGAAGGGAGGGGAGGGGAGGGAGGGAAGGGGAGGGAGGGCATTCTAGCAGAGGCTTAATGAGAGTGGAGAATGAGCGCCTAATGATTACGGGGAATACACAGGCAAATAAAACGGGAGGCGTTGACACGGGGGATGCGCGACTGTGTGCTTCTACACACACGCACGTAGTCGTAATACTTCTGAGAACTGATGGGGAATGGGCACATTGCAGGCGATTTGATCATCGGCAGGCAGACCCCAGGCTCGTCGCAACGTGAAGATGTGAACGTTATCATTATTAATGCGACTGTCAGTCGGTCGTCATTTTTAAATCCTTTATATTAAGTTCGCTTGCTTGCTTGCGCGCTTATGACCGTGCAAATCTTTCGGTCGTTTTTTGCCCACTTCCCGTGATCCAATCGAGCTGACATTGTGCCTGACAATTTATTTTCGTGACATTTTTTTTCCAAAATTTTACACTCTTTAGGTGATTTTTTAAAATTATATTTAATTACCAATTGCTTAATGGTGGCCAGCAATCATCTGACCCATAGGTGGCAGCCATCTCAAGCCAGAGGACGAGAGGACTCTAGCCGCCCGTTTCAAAGACCAATGTGGGCTGGGTTGTGGCCCATTAAACACGCATATAAAGGATTTATAGTGAAAAACTTTGTTTTTACGGGTTAATTTTTACACGCACACATCGCCCTCGGCGAGGGCCAGGCATCGGTGCGCGTCACAACGGCCTCCGGGTGACGTGGAGGAATGGGCAAGGGGAGGAAAGGAAAATCCGCTCAAGCCCGCCAGCGGCTACGCCGCACGAGCCGGAGGCACATCGTGGAAGAGAGAGAGAGAGCGCTGTAACAGGATACAATGAATCCGCGACAGAGTGAATGATACATTATGTGAATGATTTAGGCCCATACATGGAGTAATTCGGCATGACTTTGTCCATATAAGGAATGCTGGAACGGGAATCGACCGATTTTTAACGATACAAAGCTTGATCCATGCTTGATCCATGTTAAAACACATACACACAGGTGTAATAAACCTTCTTGAGACGGCTTCGGAATCAGTCCTTTTTATTTCCACTTCCACAATTTCACTTTACTCACACACTCTCCGTTGCTGGCAGACAACGGAGAGAGGGCAGACTTCCCGCCAAGTCCCCACCGCGCACGTGGCACCCAGAGCCCCCGTACGCGCGTGACCCCTGCTCTTGTCGTTCCCAAGTCTGCTCTCGATCGCTCTCTCTCTCTTAATCCCTTCGTCACGTGGTACGCCCCAGTCAATCCTCCATAGACAGCGTTGACCGTTCCCGATGGTTCCCTGTCAATCCCGGGACCACGCCTCTGATCCGGCTCCCCATTAGCTGGGGCCCCGAATGACCAGGCCAATCACCCCTGCTAACATGCCGTGATCACGCCGAGGCCATGCTCCCTGTCTCAACCCTTATTGGCTACAAAGCAGGACCGGCAAGCCAATCCCCACGTGAACCCTCTATGGCTGTTATCACACAGGTATTCAAAATATAATACTGGTAGGAACCTCCTGGTTCAACCAGCCCACAGGGGATTATTGTGTCCGTCCGTCTGTCGTGCATCCAAAAATGGGAGGGGTGGGGCTGGGTGGAGAGGGGAGGGTGGGGAGGGGCTGGGTGGGGAGGGTGGGGAGGGGCTGGGTGGGAAGGGTGGGGTTGGGTGGGGGGTGGGAGGGGTGGGGCTGGGTGGGGAGGGGCTGCTCACCCCGTAGCGCCCTTATAAAACTCAACGTTTCACCTACTCACGCCGGCTTGTGCCCGCCCTCACAGTCGGGCATATTTGCGGAATACACCACGCCGCCGTTGACCCTGGCCATTGACCGAGCAATCCAACGTTCCTACCAGCTCCCTCCGCAGGAATGTGTTAGCCATGCTTGATCCACGCTTGATCCATGCTCGAACACATACACACAGGTATTCAAACTATCATAGCCGTGCTTGATCTACGCTTGATCAATTCGCTGAATCCCCTGCTGCAGGAGTCAAACCCTCGCCTTCTCTTTCCTCCAACCGTGTGCACTTTGCGTGCAGGTTGCAGCCAGCAACGCTCAGTCGCATCGGATCTTCGGGCTCCTTAAGCAGCTGCGGGAACGGACTGACGCGTGCTCCTCACCGCACGTCGACAAAGAGGCGAGTGTTCCAAACGGCACAGCAGGTGTCAGTGGGTGTCAGTGGGTGTCAGTGGGTGTCAGTGGGTGTTAGCGGGTGTCAGTGGGTGTCAGTGGGTGTCAGTGGGTGTCAGTGGGTGTCAGTGGGTGTTAGCGGGTGTCAGTAGGTGTCAGTGGGTGTCAGCGGGTGTCAGTGGGTGTCAGTGGGTGTCAGTGGGTGTCAGTGGGTCCCAGCGGGTGTCAGTGGGTCCCAGCGGGTCCCAGCTGGTACCAGCAGGTCCCAGTGGCAGTGGGTGTCAGTGGGTGTCAGCGGGTGTCAGTGGGTCCCAGCGGGTCCCAGCAAGTGTCAGTGGGTGTCAGTGGGTGTCAGTGGGTCCCAGCGGGTGTCAGCGGGTGTCAGTGGGTGTCAGTGGGTGTCAGTGGGTCCCAGCGGGTGTCAGCGGGTGTCAGTGGGTCCCAGCGGGTGTCAGCGGGTGTCAGTGGGTCCCAGCGGGTCCCAGCAAGTGTCAGTGGGTTCCAGCGGATCCCAGCGGATCCCAGCGGGTGTCAGTGGGTGTCAGTGGGTCCCAGCGGATTCCAGAGGATCCCAGCGGGTGCCAGTGGGTGTCAGTGGGTCCCAGCGGATTCCAGAGGATCCCAGAGGGCCCCAGCGCGTCCAGCGGGCTCCAGCCAGCCACGCTCAGGAGTTCTTCCCGCGAATCCGACGCCGAGATCCGAGGCGCAACTGAGACATCAACTCCCGCGTCTTTGAGAACAGCCGAGTGGCGCAAGGTCCAGTCTGGCCTTAGGCTCGCAGCACCGCTGGGGGCCAAGGGCTGTTAGCGAACACCTAACTCGTTGTCACGGTAGTACGGAGTTAAAAAAATAATGCTGCCCTCATAGGAAATGATAAGTAATATTTAAAAATGTTTTTTTTTAAACACGCTTTAATGAAATGTACCGTACTCGTAATGCCAGAACTCCACGACTCCAGGAAGTGGCCCCGAAACTTGCCACAACGTCAGGTGCCGTGGTGATTTACAGCCAACGTGAGTTGAGCGTGGACAATTAGACCCAAGCCGAAACATAACGTATAAAACTGAATGTTTAAAAATAATTTTTATTTTTTTATTTTATACAATATAGTATTGTCATCAGTATGACATAAGTATACCGAGTTTGCAGTCGATAACACATTGGGCAGTGGGTTAAAATTGAGTTACAAGATTTTTAGAATACGACAACAACAGACAGAGTGAGTTAATAGAAAGCGTGTAAAATAGTGTTAATTTTTTTTTAATGATAAAATATACTATTGTCATCAGTATGACAACAGGTCCCTGTGGGGTGGGCTGGTATGAACGAATAACCAAAGAATATAAACATAATGTATTATTATTACACTTGTTTAGCCAGGAAAGCCTCACTGAGTCTAAAGGTTTTGTAGGGTCCTGCCAAGTGTTTGCAGTAGGGGGCGATGTTGCTACACCTAATCGGACATCGGACGGACGGACGGACGATATAATCTATTGTAGGCTGGTTCACTTTGTTCCTACCAGTATAAGTATACCAAGTATGCAGTCGATAACACATTGGGAAGTGGGTTAAAATTGAGTTACAACATTTGAGGATACGACAACAACAACGACAACAACAGACAGAGTGAGTTAAATAAAAGCGCGTAAAAATATAAATCTATAATATGCAAAGTTACCGGTAAAGGTTCTTCTTCATAGCAGAGCGAGAGTGAGGCCGGACAGATTGAGTAGTGGTTGAGGATTGCAAAACGTACGTGCGTTTAACTTCTTTCGCACACTGCCGTCCGTAGCGAAACCGCGCTAATCGGAGTTGCGGGGGAATGACAACAACTAAACACAGAAACAGTCATGATGACGGACGCTTGTGTTGCACCCGAAACGTCGTGATTTATTTTATTTTCTACCCACGTGACTTTACCGAAAGAACCAAAGAGTTTGGATTCCTGCAGTCACGAAAGCTTAAAATCAAGACAGAAACAGTTCTAAATGATTTTCTTGGTTCTTTCCGTAAAGTCACGTAGAATGGAAATAATAAAATAATCAAATGAAACATAATAAAATACAATTCTCACGACGTTTCGGCCACAACGCAAGCAGCCGTTTATCGGCCCAGCGTCTGAATGACGCTGTCTTTCCGACAGACCTGTTCTTCACCTGAGGACGGCTGCTTGAATTAGTTTGTAAATCTCGATAATGATTTAAAAGTGCATAGCTCTTAGTGGCTTTCTAATATCGGAAGGAAGAGCGTTCCAGACGGCCACAGAAGCGCATCTGAAAGTGCGGCTCGATGCAGCGGTGGCCACCGTCTTTGTTTGATGGCTGAGCCAAAAGCCGGAGTTGGCATGATGATGGTTTACTCTCCTTGACGAGACCACCGAGTTATCGCGGTTAATTCGTGGTGAGAACTTTGCACCCGGTCGAGAAAGAGAGAAAGAGAGAGACGCAGTGAAGGAAAGTTAGAGACTGCACTCATACACACCGCGGGGGCCATGATAACATTTTAGCTTAAGAATGTTTCCAGACGAATAGTCTCAAATTGGCTCACGAACAGTTTCACCGTCGGAGGATACTTACACATTTATTCACAGACGAACAAACCAGCTTCCGAAAAGTCAATAGCCCAAAGTGATTGTATGCTCAAACGAGCGCTGATGCATCGGTGATCAACTCCCCGCTACAGAGCTTCAAAGTTCAAAAGTTCATGTATTAGGTATAGCCCTGTGAGCCATTCGGCTCTTGAATCGGGTGCAACCGCAACAAACAAAAAATAAAAACATGAACAAGAAAACATCTTAAGTGACTATGTGCAAACAGAAAATCCAAGAAAAGACAGCAAAATATTGCAGAAAAATCACCGTACATCAACACTGTGTGCAATATTCCAGTGGGATGCAAGTCAAACAACAATAACCACAAGACAACTTAGATTAAGGCCATCAGTCTAACTCTGTACTACAAAAAACAAACATGGCCAAACCAAAAAAGTTTTTGAAACGCACCAAAATAAAGCCACAAAAGCAATGAAACAGTGGTCATAGGAACTGTGACCGAATTTTCACAATAAATGACATAACAACATGTACCACCAAACTCTGCAGCCATAGCTGGCTGCATGAGGTCACTCCACAACAGTAGGAGCATCAGTCGGAGTATCAACATTTTTCAATGCACCTTTAAGATCAGCGCACTAAATCAAAACACAGATCATACTTTGCATACTTTGCAGCGATCATCCGGAGCGAAACATTTTATTTTAGGCCACTAAATTGCAGTGGCAGCTAGGGGTGTACAACTCCTGTAGAGCAGTTTTGAGTGAAGATTTCATAGGTAGTGATTCAAGTTGCAGTTTATTGGCAATAGCATTCCAGACCCTGGGGGCATCAATAGCAAAGGCCCTTCGACCTGAGCTCGTGGTGTAAGTTTCCACGTTCCTAAGACAGGGGTTAGTCCATACGTAGGCTAAAACCGCTGTTTACTTCACAGAGTGGCGCCGATTTTATTGACCCAGGAGGTATGATGGGGATGAGTGACCCCTCCGGAACGGGATTGTAACTCGCATCTCCGGCTTACAGACGTGAGGTCGTGGTGGAAATTCCACGTTCCTATGACGAGGATTATTCAATGAATGGATAATACCGATGTTTACTGAACAAACAAAGTGGTGCTCATTTTACGGCCAGGAGGTATGATGAGGATGAGTCGGACCCCTCCGGAACGGGATTGTAACTCATATCTCCCGCTTACAGACGTGAGCTCGTGGTGGAAATTCCACGTCCTATGACGGGTGTTATTCCATAATAGGATAATGCCGCTATTTACTAACAAACAAAGTGATGCCCCATTTTATCGGCCCAGGAAGTATGATGGTGATGAGTCTGACCCCTCCGGAACGGGATTGTAACTCGCATCTCCCGCTTACAGACGTGAGCTCGTGGTGGAAATTCCACGTTCCTATGGCGGGGATTATTCCATGAATAGGATAATACCGATGTTTACTTAACAAACAAAGTGGTGCTCATTTTATTGGCCAGGAGGTATGATGGTGATGAGTCTGACCTCTCCCAACCAGATGGAACTCGCATTTTCCCGCTTACAGACGTGAGCTCGTGGTGGAAATTCCACGTTCCTATGGCGGGGATTATTCCATGAATAGGATAATACCGATGTTTACTTAACAACAAAGTGGTGCTCATTTTATTGGCCCAGGAGGTATGATGGTGATGAGTCTGACCTCTCCCAACCAGGATTGTAACTCGCATTTCCCGCTTCCACACGTGAGCTCGTGGTGGAAATTCCACGTTCCTATGACGGGAGTTATTCCATAAATAGGATAATGCCGCTATTTACTTAACAAACAAAGTGGTGCCCATTTTATCGGCCCAGGAAGTATGATGGTGATGAGTCTGACCCCTCCGGAACGGGATTGTAACTCGCATCTCCCGCTTACAGACGTGAGCTCGTGGTGGAAATTCCACGTTCCTATGACGGGGGTTATTCCATGAATAGGATAATACCGATGTTTACTTAACAAACAAAGTGGTGCTCATTTTATCGGCCCAGGAGTATGATGGGGCTTGGCGAGCGAATGGCGCAGTGAACACACGGGGTTCTGGTTAACGCATTGCCCTGTAAGTTGGCAACAACAATCTCACGAGAGAATTGTATTTGATGAAATGACACCTCCGATTCGCGCGGTTGGCTACGTATGGTGCTAAAGAAGTTCAACGTACACACTGCCCATAGACTCAACACTGCCCATAGACTCAACACTGCCCATAGACTCAACACTGCCCATAGACTCAACACTGCCCATAGACTCAACACTGCCCATAGACTCAACACTGCCCATAGACTCAACACTGCCCCATAGACTCAACACTGCCCATAGACTCAACACTGCACCATAGACTCAACACTGCCCATAGACTCAACACTGCCCATAGACTCAACACTGCCCATAGACTCAACACTGCCCATAGACTCAACACTGCCCATAGACTCAACACTGCCCATAGACTCAACACTGCCCATAGACTCAACACTGCCCATAGACTCAACACTGCCCATAGACTCAACACTGCCCATAGACTCAACACTGCCCATAGACTCAACACTGCCCATAGACTCAACACTGCCCATAGACTCAACACTGCCCATAGACTCAACACTGCCCATAGACTCAACACTGCCCATAGACTCAACACTGCCCATAGACTCAACACTGCCCATAGACTCAACACTGCCCATAGACTCAACACTGCCCATAGACTCAACACTGCACCATAGACTCAACACTGCCCATAGACTCAACACTGCACCATAGACTCAACACTGCCCATAGACTCAACACTGCCCATAGACTCAACACTGCCCATAGACTCAACACTGCCCATAGACTCAACACTGCCCATAGACTCAACACTGCCCATAGACTCAACACTGCCCATAGACTCAACACTGCCCATAGACTCAACACTGCCCATAGACTCAACACTGCCCATAGACTCAACACTGCCCATAGACTCAACACTGCCCATAGACTCAACACTGCCCATAGACTCAACACTGCCCATAGACTCAACACTGCCCATAGACTCAACACACTGCCCATAGACTCAACACTGCCCATAGACTCAACACTACCCATAGACTCAACACTGCCCATAGACTCAACACTGCCCATAGACTCAACACTGCCCATAGACTCAACACTACCCATAGACTCAACACTGCCCATAGACTCAACACTGCCCATAGACTCAACACTGCCCATAGACTCAACACTGCCCATAGACTCAACACTGC